CCGGAGGATATAAAAAAGTTAGCAACATACCTTGTGGATAAATGGAAAAATCTGTAACTGCAAAACGTCACTGAGACCACCTTCAGGGAAGCCATTGTTTTGGCACAATGCAGACTGCTATTGTACAATAGGCGTAGACCAGGGGAACTTGAAAGTATTGGGTAAATATTCAAGTGGACATGTCTTGCAAGCTTCTGTGCCTTGTAGTTTTCTTTTTTCAAAGTTTCTAGCTTGTTTTGATAACTCAAAAAAATATTCTGGTATAATACCTTAATTAAGTCATTGTGATTGGCAATGTCCTATCAGAATTATCATGGATTTGGAGGGGTGGGGGGTGTGCAAACAACAAAATGTTACTTCCAATTGGTATTTTCCCCAATGAATTTGATAACTTTCTGTACACAGATGTGTCAATGCGGCAGTCCTTGACTGAGCTCGAGAAAGTACTGTTGAAGTCACAGGATCTGGTTGAAATAAGGGGGAAGGTAATTTTTTTCTATCCCATTTTGATGTTAAATAAGATAAAGCTCAGTTCAGATGTGTGTTATAACAAATGGCATTTTCAATTTCTTAATAACCAGAAAGGTCAAGAAATCAGACCAGTATTATGCTGGGATAAAGAGCTGTCTGATCTGTTCAAATGAATGCCCTTGACCTATTTTCAAGGTCACATGGATAATACTTGTTAAAGATTTTTAATTTAAAGTGAAAATATATACTAAAAATATGTATTTCAGGAATAGAAGTATGTATTTAGGTATGTGACAGTAAATGCCCATGGGCCTTGAGTGTGTTATGTTTCTATCTCTGTACAGTTATCTTGTTTCAAATAATAATGAATGTTTATATTTTCAAAATGTATTTTCATAATTGGTGGTATGTGGAAATACTCGGAACCAAACTCAGTACGAATTTATCGGTTTAAAACAAGTTATTCCAGCTTTTATTAATCACTCTTTTTGGAAGAGCACAAGGTGTCTTGATTTGGGAGAAACCTGGAGTACCTGGGGAAGACACACGTGCTTGGGTAGGTGACCCCAAACCTTTTCACATTCTTTCTGGGAATCAAACCTGGCCCACTTAGGTGAACGGCAAGTGAGTTATCACTGCACCATGTGACAACCGTATATGTAACCAATGCCACCCTGTTTGGGAGACATATAAGAAATATAGCATATAGAATAGATACTTGTATTACAGTAAGAAAACCCTATACAGTACTTTAATGTACAACTGGTAGCATGCTTAAAAAATTTGTTTTTTGACTAGACATGGAGAGGAGTTCCTGTCATCATACCAGCAGAAGTAAGAAGGGTGCTAAAGGTCTTGGCTGACAAGGAAAACGGGAAAATGGCTGGGATAAGGAAGAACAATTTCTTGTTTGCAAACACAGGTATAATTTTCTTACCACGATATCAATAAATATTACTTTTGTATTGACCTGTATGTAGTCAATACCTGTTGAATTTACAGTCAACAAAGTTGACAATGTATATGTTGGGGATTATTTCTTGAGTTTTATAGGTAAAATACACATGTTTGTGGTGACGAATTACCATTTCTAGGTCATCTGACCCAAAGGTCATGATGACTTATAGTCATCTTTATTCATCCATCGCCAATGAATTTTGGAAGATTTTTTTTTTAATAACAATTATATGAATTGTTTCTGACCTCCCTGAGCCACTTGCTTTTCTCTTTATTATATGTGTATAAAAATATATTTTATTTGCAGTCAGGTGACTTTATTTTTCATTTAATTGATAAACAACAGTCTTTGGAATAGTAAATTTAGCTTGTAAAGTTTTTTTAGATGTAACTTTTCTCTTTTGTACCTGGTCCATGAATATAATGTGTATAAAAATATATTATATGATCAAGGGAATTTTTTTTTTTTTTGTTTTTTTTTGGCCTTCTTGAATTGTGTTCATCTAAGCTATCTCATGGTCTACTTTTTGGAGTTTTTTAACCTTCACTTTTGGTTTGCACACATTAGGCTCTTCCTAAGTACTACATGTTCTACATATTTCCTGACCTATCCATAGATCTACAGACTTCTAAGAGTGCCCAGGAATGTCTGTTCACCAAGTAATCCCAGTTACTCTATTGCTGGACTTACTCTTAGTTAACATCAGGGCCTTGGTCAGTCAAAAGTGTATTTGGTATTCATGATGATAATGAAGTGAAGTGGGTATGTAACCACTTTGGTCACACCCAACGTATCCATGATCAGTACTACAGACAGACATCTGGCTTAATAGAACGGATAGACATTGCAAAGTTAATGATAATACAAGAGCAGAACTTGGTGGGAAGATTCAACAACAAAAAATTGTCAGATATTCAGTTTGATGGTAAGGTTGATCAAAAATAATTTAACGAAAAGATTGTTACCAAATCAGATTGTATTTTCATTAAACCAAAAGCAATTTATATTTTGGTTCTGTTTCATCAGAAAAAAATGAGGATGTGCATCATTGTGGGAAATTAACTTGAATATATTATCTATGAAATGGAGTAATTACGGAAAAAATGAATGTTTTAGTGGACAATGACTTAATAAACCTGTACATATAAAATAAAGGCCATACTTGTCATCGAGTGATTTTTAGGTCATCTGACCCAAAGGATCAGGATGACCTATCGTCATCATGCACTGTCTGCTATTCATAAATTTTTCACATTTTAAACTTATTCTCAAGTTCCACCGATGTAATAGGGCTGAAATGATCCTGAGAGGCTCCTAACCAAGTGCTATTATTTTTCAGGTTGATTCGAAATTCAAGATGGCTGTCATTGTGGCCATCTTGAAAAACCCTTTTTAAACTTCCTCTGTGTTTCAGTGGTGCAATGTAGTTGAAATTAAGTAGAGAGGAAGAAAGATTGAAATATTTTATTCCTTATCCATCAATGAATTGGGGAGAACATTAAAGAAAGAAATTATATGAAATATTGCTGTTCCCCTTGAGCTGCTGCTGCTATTATATCTTTGATAGTACTTTTTATTAAGATGACTGTTAAGGCCCCTGGGCCTCTTGTTAGAAATGGTTCATACATTCAAAATATTAAAACATATTGTGATTAAAAATTCAGATTTATATGATTTTGTTTACTTTTCCATTACATGAAGAGAAATAGAAAAGATTTAAAATCCACCCTGAGTCTATCACTCAGCAAAAAATAATATACTCCACAAGTGGTACTGTAATTTTCGAAGTTGAAATATAAAAATGCATTCCAGCAAAAGTTGAGTCAATTTTGGATAACATATTTATAACATGTTTACTAGTGGGGTGCCGATTAATCGATTTCGTCGACGATTGATCGTTTTTTGGTTTCAATAAACTGATCGATCACAAACATGAATGATCGATTTTCACTCCAAAAACAGAAGTTTTTGATAAAATGAATAGCATGATATTACACAACAAAACAACAATTACCTTGTTTTAATCTTGTTACCAAACGTAAATTTGTTACGTTAAACGGCATTACAAAGGGCCCTTTACAAGTCGCCTACTTAGTATTGCTACTGCTTACTGCCACTTATGTAATTAAAAATTGCCACCTGTGGGAAGGGACGTAACTCCACCTGTTTATTTTTTCAATGACATAAGCTTATGGATAAGAGAATCATGGAAACGATGTCCTCTGCTCAGGAATTATATCCTCCCAAAAATGGCAGATCGTATGTTTGGAAATGCTTTGGGTTTCCAAAAATAAATCAGAAACTGCCCCCAAGCAAGGATAACATCTTAATGGACGTTGCATATTGTAAAAAATGCAGACGGGGATATAAATACAACGGTTTACCTATAGCGACATGTCTCTTCATTACAGGGACTGGCTACTTATAGCAACATGTCCCTTCATTACAGGGACCGGTTTACCTACAGCAACATGTCCCTTCATTACAGGGACCGGCTACTTATAGCAACATGTCCCTTCATAACAGGGACCAGTTTACCTATAGCGACATGTCACTTCATTACAGGGACCGGCTACTTATAGCAACATGTCCCTTCATTATAGGGACTGGTTTACCTACAGCGACATGTCACTTTATTACAGGGACTGGTTACTTATAGCAACATCTCTCTTCATTACAGGATCCGGTTTACCTATAGCAACATGTCTCTTCATTACAGGGACCGGCTATAGGGACCTGTTACCCAGCGACATGACTTTGATACACATTTATATTTGAAATGACATCAATATGAAGATACCATGGAAATATTATAATGGGATTCAGTTGTATCATACTTACAGTAACATTTGATATACCCTTCTCCAGTAGTCGTTATAGATGTTACATTGCAGAAATATATTCACATATCAATATATAGTTGTAGTCGGAAATTATCTCCCTTGAAATTGGAGCTCTTCCTGTCGATATTGCAAGTTATCGACCTCGATTTTTCGGAGAAATTGTTTTTATTTTCAAGGCCACTTCTCAGAATCTCTATTACAAACTGGATGTTTTTCTTTGAATATTTGGTCATTGTTTAATTACGTAATCTTCTTGCAATATAACGAAAATCGTCCGTACTGACAGCAATGTAAGGTACTAGGGTACCCAACTTATCAATAGGAAATACCACACCGTCCTGCTTATTCTATAAAAAACATGTTGATCTTCGGAACCAATCGTCTATTACAAATAGGATAACGTCATTGAGACCTTGACGCCCTTGACCAATGAAAAATCGGATATAAAAAGACAGGATTTCCGCCGTTTTTAAAGGATTTCCCGGCTATTTTTCGAAACGGTGTTGACGCAATTTTCTACCTGAGTATTCTGCACTGCGCCTGAAATTTATACTTCTCAGCTTAAGTACAAAGACGTGATAAAAGACCATTAAACCATTAATTTTTGCAATCAAAATTTATTTGAAAAAATAACGTGCTGCTTTGCACTGATAACAAAAACAATAATAATAATAAATGAAAAATAGGAATAAAATATAACAGAAAAAGGTGATTACATGTTTAAAGCAATTATAAAATTACATACATGTATAAACCAAGATCCAAGTGAGATAAACAAATCTATGCATGCATTTGCATGTTAAACTTCAACAAAAACTTCATTTCAGTACATGTATTTAATGCAGTCATATATTTCACTTTCATATTAATTGAATGCCTTTTTTTTATATCTGCAGGTATATCATTTTTACATCAACAAATAACTGGCAGTTACACAACCTCAATACAATATAGATTGGATTTTACTTAAGAAAGCATGCTGCATTTTTAATAGATACACACAGAAAACTACTTGGCACATGACTTTGAGTTATGGTCTGCACCATGACAGTTTGAACATTTCCTACTTTCTTTTGTTCTTTTCCCTTTTCCCTCGAGAAATAAGAGCCGATTTTGTTTCTCTAATACTTGCTTCAATGCAGGTAATCCTCTATGACATGATCCCCTAAAAAACTGCTTTGTTATATTATCATTGAGTTTTTCTAGTCCTTGTTGGCTAAATCTTACCATGGTTCCATGAGTTCTAATGATCTCTCCCACATGATATCTCAACAAGTGTATGTATGGGGTAATATCTCTTGTTTGATACACCTGTATATAAAGAGCACACCAGCTTTTTGCCTTCGCTTCAATCTCATCAGGGTCTGGATTTTCAGATTTTATTAACTCATTTATGTCTTTAAAGCCATCCCATAATTCCTGAATCTCTGCTGCTCTGTCCTTATCCTCAAACAAATCTGATGCATGAAAATGGTCAAACAAAACACGCTTCTCTGGACCTGTAAGGTCTCTGTAGTCCAATTTCTTTGTTTCTTGATTTACACCTATCTCAAAATGTATTCCAAGTTGCTGTAGCACATTTTCTAATTTCAAAACATGCTTCAGTTTGTCTTTCTTCTCGTACACACTTGTAAATGTGGAGTTCTCATTTATGTTATCTAAGCATCTTAAGTCAGAAAGGAGAAGATTGAACAATTTGTCAGATATTCTCAAATACATATGCAAATGGTCTATAACAACACGATTTGGAGTAATGCTTGGAAAAAGTGGCTTATTCTTCACAGAAAAAAAACCCTTGTTGACCTTCTTTCTCTTTAGTGATGAAGATTGTACCAATTCCTCACACTTATACTCAAGTCTAGCTCCTTTGGATGGATCAACCATAGACCAATTTCTACTGAGGTCTAGTTTTTCAGCCTTGTTACATGTGCAGTAAATGCAAAAATGCTGACAAGCTACTGAAGATATTCCAGTAGCAAGCAGAAGAAATTTATAATCCCCGCCTAAAACTATTTCAATATCAAAACTTCTATGTTGTACTTTTAGACTATTGCCATCTAGTTCCTCAACTTCCTTAACCAAATCTGATAAACCCAATACTAGATCACTATATTTTTCTGCAGTTCGTATGACAGCCAAAGGGTAGTTTCCCCGGACTGATGCACTCCTTTCTTCATTTACAATAGTAAAAGTAACATTAACAACATGAATCCTTTTCCCTATATTTGTACCATCCCCTGATATTTTAATTTTTACCTTACCTGCAGGGGCAAAGTTCTTGTCAGTTTTAATCTTATGTGAAAGTACGTCATGTAAATGTTTTTTCAAACTCTGCTGAACACCAAGTCCATCTGGAGTTTGGATGATATCAAATTTTGAATTTAAATCTGAAAGAACTTTATTAACAGCGTTAATTCTTGGGAGGGTTTTAAATGCCATACTCAACTCATGATATGCATCTTTACTGATGTTAAATGTATCTAAAATGTAAATCAGAGCATTCAAATCATCTAAAGTTTCACTTGCCTCCAGTGACTGGTTTTCCTTATTTTCACCAGTTTCATACAATCTAAGCACCTCCTCTTTTCCATTCCTGACCACTGTGACAGATACAGGCACAGCATCTGAATCTTTTAAAAATGACAGTGCTTTTTTACAATGTTCTTCATCTTTTTTCCTAATTTTGGACTGCCAACTAGGTGTGCAATCAGCAAATGCTTTCCGCTTTATAGGTTTCACTTCAGGAGTACCAATTACTGCACTTAAATTACATAACTTTTCCCTCAACTCTTTGTTTTCTTTTTCTTTATCCCTTAGATCTTTTTCAGTATCAGCCTTTATTTTATCAACTAAAAACTGAGTTTCTTCTCTATCAACTTTGACGTCCCAACTATATTTGGAATGTTTTAATTGTTCTTTAAACTTTCTAAATTGTGACCCACCCTTCACTTTTGCTTGTAAACCATTTTGTTTAAGCCTAAAAAGTTCAGCACGTAAACATTTCAAACTATGTTCATCTGGGAGAAATTTCAATGTACAGATGCTTTCAATAGCTGTTGATATTTCTTTAACAGTTGGTATATTTAATGGTTTATTCCAATAGTTTTTCAATAGTATATTAAAAAGTTCTTCTCTAGAAATGATGATCATTTTTTAAATGTTAACTTTGGCATTACAAGAGAGGGTCATCCATCAAATTTGGTAACATTCTGTAGTTGCCAGTGCACTTCACAAAACTGACTATGACTTGTTTGCCCCTTGGCCGAAATGATTCTTCAATCCTGAGCTGACCACCAGTCTTTCGGACAACAAATTCTTTGGATTCTCTTAGAGATTTATGATAAATCTTAACTGTTGCTGTTTTAATATAAACACAATCTCCTTCCTTATTAAGTATCCTAAAATCCCAATGTTTCCCAAAAATAGAGTTCAAGTCGAAGCGTGACCTTAAGCTGTACACAGTTTTTGTTTCTGTTTTTTTAAACATGTGTAGCTTTTCTTGAAGACAAGAAAAATCCCTTTCATCCATAGGAGTTTTTAGCCTTACAATGCTGTCCAGTCTTGAACCTGTTGTCAGACTGTCCTTGATCATTGAACCCACATTCACAATTGACTGTGTCCCCTCACATTCATTAGTCTCAAGTTCTGCCTCTTTGATGATAGTGTCATACTTTGCACTCCATCCTATCAATAAAGATTTTACATCATAAATAAACTATGACAAATTTCAATGATGCATTTTATCAAATACACCTGTTGATCTAGTGTGCAAAAACCATTTACCGGTACATTGAATTATTAGCTTGAAGTGACTTCAAACAATTTCTTTCCCCCACCCCCCCCCCCCCCCCCCCTTCCTCTCCCCAATATCCGTTCAATTTCTGGCAGGGAGTTAAATGAGAAGGTACATTTGTAACATTTTGTTCGAAAAATGTTTTGTATTTCATTTCATTACATGTAATATGATCCCATAGTGTTATTTTGTCAAGGGAGGTATTACTCCAGGTAGTTTTTAAAATTAATGTTTTCAAACAAAAATGTATTACTATGATTGAACCATTGATACCTGATAATTTTTTTAAGATGAAGAAGAAGAAGAAAAAGCAGACGAAACTATCATAAGAGTAACAGAGATTATTAATTTTCTTAATGCGTCACTAGGAGTCGAACTCATGACCTCTCACCAGGGACGTATATAACAGAGTATACGTATTATATGTCCCTGCTCTCGCTAACTAGTGTTACACTTTACCGAATGAGATAACAAGATCTCCCTAGCTGAGTTGGTAGGAAACAGCTAGTATTTACAAGGCTGACATAAGATTTTCTTTAGAGGAATTGAAAGATTACATTTGATTATACAGATTTTTCTATATACAATGATATAATATTAATCATGTATCGAAAGTGTTAATGATCACATATTTATGCATATATATAAGGAGACTTGAGTTTAAAAAAATCCTGAAGATTCTTAATTAATGGTATAACATTGGTAATTTGTTTTTAAGTTATAGAACATAACTGTTACTGTTCAACAGCCTGTGTTAAATGTTACACACCTAATGATGAAAGTTTATGCATGCATATATTATATGTATACAGTTAAAAATAAATAATAAAAAAGTCAACAAAATGCTGAAAGCAATAATTATCAATAGTATTTACTACATACAACATACCTGTAAAATGAACTTTGACATAACCATCTTCTGGACTGGACAGGATTTCCACCGGATACAATCCTGCTTTCCACTCTTTTGATTTCAAACTGCTCTTTCTTGCCTTTGGCAATTCAACAAAGTTCAAATCTCTGCAAAAAATATTGATTTTACAATATACAAATGAAATTTTACATTTACGCTTTAGATGTACTTGGAACCTGTGGGTGGAAGAGTGTGAATGCATTAGAAAACTATTTTTAGCTTGAGATGTATAAGCATATATACATGTACAGTATACAGTAAATACCTTACTATTTTCAATCTACATGTACATTTGGCCTATATTTCATGCTACAGTACTAGTACAGTACAGTACTAGTTCAGAACCCCCCCCCCCCCCTCCCATTAGTTTCACACACACAAAATGCTTTCTATTTTGCACATAAACACCTAAATCACAATACTTATTGAATAACCCATATGTTATATCACAGCACATGCATTGAAATGGACTTAATTTGATTTAACCCAAATACATTTTTTCCCGAACGAAGGAGTTCCCGCGGCTCAACTTGCACTAAGATAGTTGGTATATTTTACCGGTAACACCGGTGCAATGCAGCACTGTCTGCCTTTCGATTGTCTATTGGTACATTATGTCATTCCATTCAATCACAACCATTATTAAATACTCGTTTTTACACTTATTAGACTACTTACGAGTAAGAACTCACCGAGATCCCGTCTTTACCTTTGATTTCGGGCTTCCTTTTTGAACAGCAAGTCAAAACCGACGCCATTTTTCTTTTCTACGAGTTGAATAATTCAGGGGAGTTAACTCTGTATGTCACTACAAAATAATCGCCATATCTACACAATGGCCTGAGAGTGGAATAAATTAAAGTAGAATGGTAGAAATATATATATATCCAGTACAGGAAATAGTACATTCCATTCTTACGGAAGACCTTGCAATGGGTAAGCTCTCAGCCCGTCAGGTACATAGAATTTTGACAGTTGATCAGAAGCACACAAGTCGGACTTTGTCACGTGCTAATCTGAATCTTTTAGAGGCAAATGCATTTGATGTCATTAATGAGTGTGCTTTAAATTGATTGAGCATCCGCCTTTTTCGCCTGATCTCGCACAATCAGACTTTCATCTATTTTCAAAATTGAAAAAGGCCATTTCCGGTACCAACGTTTGGTCAGATGATGACGTCATACATGCAGTGGAGGATTTTCAGAGCGGTCAAGAAAATGGGTTCTTTAAAAATGGCATTGATTTCCTTATACATCGCGGGCAAAAGTGTATAAATACTGAAGGGGATTATGTTGAATAATAATGCAATATGTCAGCCAAAATCAAATCCTTAAATATGAGACTCACAACTTATCAATCAATCAGCCGTAGTGTGTAAACTGTATATATAATTACAACAAATGGCTGTCTAGATTATTACAGATTTAAAATTGCAAAGAAAATGTTATCGCGTAAAAATATTAATGCAAGTTGAATAAGTCTTGGTAAAAATAATCTTCATTTAAAAATCACGCTCGATTTGCGAGCCATTGACGAAACACGCTTACTTTTTGATATGTGTATAGGTGCATAAATCAACGGGCAGCATTTTATAAATCCTTGATATGAATTGAAGGGGTTTTAAACTGACAATTGGAAGATCGTCTTCGATTTCGGGAATAATACGTCACATACACCTGCGTAATAAAGGAATGCCAAGTGTATATTGTGACATACAGGTAAACGGTCGACAAACAACATGTAATACATAGTGATCCTGTGTAAAAATGTAAGGGAGAAACCGATCTCATCTTCCATAATCCCGCTACAGTTGTAGATAAAATGACTTCGACACTTGAGGTAAGTCTGAATTTAGAATATGGGCCAAGCAGAGGGAGCAATTTCATAACATTTACTTCACCTAATATCTAATTCAAAGGATTACTTAGATATGTGTTTGTTTTATAGGCATAAAGGTGTTTAGAGGATGAAGCACAGCCAATAGTCATAGCAAATCAGAGATACACGAGATTTTACTTATAGGTAAACATCGGGCATGGTGTAATAGGTAGGGTAGGATTTATCTACCCAAGCAAACAAATAAGATTATGTTGTTTACATGTTTTATGAAATATTGATCTAGTAGATTGGTGACGCCAGAAGTCAGTCTTATGTATGTTTGACTTTTACCTCCCCTTCCCTCACGAATATTCACGAGCGTAAATTCTGTGAATGACGAGTAACGGAACAAGCATACAAAGAAATGCATTCATGATGTAGTGAAAAGTAAGCTGATAGCTCAAATATAGACAAATCGACAATATGGACTGGGTTTCATTAAACAAAGGTATCATGTCTTAGACAAAGTCAAAGAGAATATAAGTGAGTCACTGACTTTACAGGCATGCGTAAATAAAAGAAGAAATTCTCAAAATAATGAAATGTTAACGTTAATCTAAAACAATTGAGTATCTTTGAATATGTGTATAACAATGGATTATATATACACACCGTGTATAACAATGGATTATATATACACACCGTGTATAACAATGGATTATATATACACACCGTGTATTACAATGGATTATATATACACACCGTGTATTACAATGGATTATATATACACACCGTGTATTACAATGGATTATATATACACACCGTGTATTACAATGGATTATATGTACACACCGTGTATTACAATTAATTATATCTACACACTGTGTATTACAATTAATTATATCTACACACCGTGTATTACAATTAATCATATCTACACACCGTGTGTTACTATTTATTACATCTACACACCGTGTATTACAATTAATCATATCTACACACCGTGTGTTACTATTTATTACATCTACACACTGTGTATTACAATTAATTATATCTACACACTGTGTATTACAATTAATTATATCTATACACTGTGTATTACAATTAATTATATCTATACACTGTGTATTACAATTAATTATATCTACACACCATGTATTACAATGGATTATATCTACACACCGTGTGTTACTATTTATTACATCTACACACTGTGTATTACAATTAATTATATCTATACATTGTGTACTACAATTGATTATATCTACACACCGTGTGTTACTATTTATTACATTTACACACCGTGTTTTACTATTGATAAAGAAATAACACTGCTTATAACCATTGATCATGTACATTCACAGTGTAATACTAGTTATCTGTACCTATCCTAGATCAAAATTGATTATATAAATTGTCATGATGCTTTTTGTTATTCTTTTATCCAGCAGCCAAAGTCTGTGGTCACTGAACAGGAGATGACCGAGTGTTCGTCAGGATTTGATGTCAGGCCATCTGGAAGGTCAAAGGTCGTTTTGTCCAGGACTAAAAGATTGAGTAGTGAGCACTCCGAGCTCTACATGACCGAACTTCCACAAAATGAAACCGAGGAGGAAAGCTTACAAAATATTAGTACCCGGGATGTCACCACTAGCAACAAAGGTACTGCAATGACTCACAATGTTGGTGACGGATATTTAATGAGTGAGAACTCTTATACAAATCATCAAATTAAGCTTGAGGAGTTTATATGAAAAGCAAACGAAAATGTTTGTGAAAGTAACACATTTTTGTTACATGATCCTGTTACTAAGAGTATATATCATTTAACATTATAGCTACTATGACTGAAACGTTTATAGAGTAGGGATAACAATTGACACCAATTAACATCACACCTGTTTCTGGTGTGAGCCATGATAAATAACTGCATAGGCTCGGTCGATTAAGCATTTCTCAGAACGTTGAAATTGTTCTTTTTTGCTGTTCACAGAGTGATTTTGAAATTAGCTCTGTTTTGTTCATGAGGTTACCTTCAAAATAAATCCAATGTTGTTGTCCACGGGATGACACCGCTCCAAAATAACTCCTTTTTGTTCAAGGGGTGAACCCACTTCAAAATAACACAGTGGCTGTCCACGTCCCCTACTTTAAGATAACTCTTTTGCTGTTCACAGATTGACCCCACTTCAAAATACCTCTTGCTGTTCACGAGGTGACCCCACTTTAAAATAACTCTTTTGCTGTGAACGGGATGACCCCTCTTAAGAATACCTCTTTTGTTATTCAATGTCCGCTTCAAAATAACTTTTTTGCCTTCACTAAGATTACAAAGTCAATAACAAAAGTATTCGGAGCAGTCGGTCCATCGGATCAGTTACAACTTCATTTATATATGGTATCTATTATATTGACCATCCTGGTGGAATGTCTGTTTTGTGCTCCAGTTTAGAGTTTAGTGACTTTTGGTCTCTGTTACAGATCTTGTAAATTGTCATTGTACACTTTTATGTATTGGTAAATGATAAGTTTGGTTAAACGCCAATTATATATTACTTATGTACAGCTTTATTTTGGAGTTGCACTGCCATTCTACATCCCGTTCTTACCTGTTTGTCGGGACTCTAATAACTGTCACAACTTCCAGATTTAACAGACGTGGTATTTAAAGTGTTTTTCTAGTATTTGATTATTGAGCCCTTGGAAAGTTGTTTTATGAATTATAACAATGCTATATTTAAAACACATACTGAAGATATGACACTGATAATGTTTGAAAAATGGAGGTAGCTGGCCCCGAGGCAATGTTGACTTTCTTTTCATCATATTGGAATAAGAGCTTAACCACGAAGACTTTTAAATCAATACCCGGTTCCCTTTTCAAACAAAGTGGCTGGCAGTATTCTGCCCGTGATAGGCTAATTGATCCAAACACGGTCCTTTAATTATGCGTGCTAAGTACTCAAGATCATTCGAAAGCAAATACGCCTCTCTGAGTGTACGACCGGATATTTCTACATGTTATAGCGATGTACAAATATGAATAATTATGTATGTATACATTTGGCCATCATAACGCTACAGTACCACTAAAACGAACGTGCTAGGTTAGACGGCGCCAACACAATTTCAACATAATAGCAGACTGTTGCTGAAACTGAAACATCTTGTTTCTACGGTGGTAGAAAGATCGAGTTACTGAGAATGTAACGTCTTGCGTCTAGGTGGGAGGTTGATCGAGTTACTGAGACTAAATCGTAACTATTGTGTCTACTGTGGGATGCTGATCGACTTACTGAGACTGTGAATTATGGTGTCTACTGAGGGAAGCTTATCGAGTTACTGAGACTGAAAGTTTTATTCCTCCTGTGGGAGGCTGATCGAATTACTGAGACTGTGAATTATTGTGTCTACTGAGGGAGGCTATCGAGTTACTGGGACTGAAACGTAACGTATTATGCATCCTGTGGGAGGATGATCGATTTAGTGAGACTGAAACGTCTTGTGTCTACTGTTGTGAAGCACACGTCTACTGATGAAGGCTTATCGAGTTACTGGGACTGAAACATCTTGTACCTTCCGTGGAAGACTGATCGAGTAACTGTTACTGTTACGTTTTGTGTCTAATGTAGGAGACTGATCGAGTTACTGAGATTTCTTGTCTACATAGACGTGTTCAGTGGGAGTCTGAGTTACCGAGTCTGTAACCCCAAGTTTTTTTTTATGTTACGACGTTTACCGTGGGATCTGATCAAGTTATCGAGACTGTAATATCTGGTTGTTTATAACGACGTGTACTGTGCGCAGCTTATCGAGTTTCTGAGACAGCGATTTCCTATGTGTATATAGACATATACTTTAGGATGTTGATAGAGTTATCGAGACTGTAATATCTTGAGTTTATACAGTCACGTGGTGTGAGAGTCTGATCGAGTTAACGAGACGTCACTGTGTCCATATAGACGTATTCTGTAGAAGTCTGTTTGAGTTAACGAGGACACTGAAACGTTTTGTTTCTTTTTATTCGTGTACTTCTCTATCAAGGGTTTGGTTTCAGAAACTGTGACACAATAGTTCATTTATCACGTGGCGATAATGGACTAATACGTTTTCAAACCCTGAATCATGGCTAACTCTCGCCTCTTGGATTATCAGCAAATCGGACAGCCATTTCTCGCCGAGGACACTAGACTTCATTTCGGTGAAAATACCTAAATTTTCTTCGTGTTTTTACTAATATCAACACTTATTTTCATATAACCCTCATTTCGCATCCTTTTGTAACATTTTTCAGCTCTAATTTTTTTCTACGTCACGTTTTCATTTTGTTGTCATCTTCAGGATAACGTCTAACATTTGGTCTAGTCGTGTCTTAGATGGACTGTACGCTTTACTGACCTACATTTTTATACACATACGTGTATTGTATAAGCAAAACCATTTCATGAGTATATTGCACTGATGCACTGATCAAATGATGTTTTAATATTGATCTATATTTTTGTATGTTATACAGGATACAGCAGTTTCACTTTGTGTGTGTGTTGCAACAGTTTAAGAGTATATATTGATTTCGTTGTTGATTTTATCATATATTTACAATATCGTGAATAAGATCGAGCTATTGGATGAACCCATGCTAACGTCGTTTGAATATATACAACAAAAGTTTCGTTGTTTAAATTCAGATAAAAAAAAGAAGAACTTAGAACAATCTGATGTGAAGAGGGAGATATATAAAAGAGAGTGCGCCAAATGTCACGTGGTTCCTGTCGGTGCATATCTCCGAACGCCGTCCAGTGGCTCCCTTGTCATACGTCACTACAACCTAGGTCCGAACGGCGCAAAGGCTTTGTCCGCCCCGCTGATGGTAAATGTATTGTAACATTGGTTCTGGCTTAAACAAGAAGTACTTAGTGGAGGGATATAAGTATACATTGTAATCAATAACCCATTGATGTAGGGTCATGCACCTGTAAGATAACCCACTGATATTGGGTTCTGTATCTGTAAGATAACCCATTGATATTGGGTTCTGTATCTGTAAGATAACCGATTCATATAGGGTCATGTACCTGTTTTGTATCTTTCCTTTCAGTTGGATGATACAGTTACACATGTAGACATTGTTGGTAACGCTATAGAGGTACAAGGATTGGTCTTCCTCCTTCAAGCTCTCGCCGACAACCGATCGGTACAACACTTGGTAAGTGTTGGTATATATAGTGACTCCAACTGGTGAGGTAATCCTTTATACTCATCGACAGCTGATGTCATTACATGGAGATACAGCTAGTGATCTCGTTGTATGATATGACTCCTCACGAGTGTTGTGGTTATTTGTAATGACACCTAGTGATGTCTTGTAGCTAATGCCTACTGATGAATGTTGTTATGCATAGTGACACGTGATGTTGTTATACAATGTACGTAGTGATATGTGATGAGTGATGCTATACACAGTGACACATGGTGTTGTCATACAATGTACATAGTGATATGTGATGAGTGATGCTATACACAGTGACACATGGTGTTGTCATACAACGTACATAGTGATATGTGATGAGTGATGCTATACACAGTGACACATGGTGTTGTCATACAATGTACATAACGATATGTGATGAGTGACACCATGAGTTACACATGATGACACAGTGTGGTGTTTATAGATAGTGAGATATGGTAAGTGTTATTATATATGCAGTTACACTTGGTAGGTGAGATTATACATATTGTACGTAGTGAAACCGTGTGAATAGTATAATACGGTATCGCATCTGAAAGTAGCATTAAACATGGTGACAACCTGTATTAAAATTATACATAATGATACATCATGTTTCTTTGTGAAAAGAGAAAATTATCATGGCGATGTGAGTGTATGTAGTGACACCTGCTGGTATAAGCACAGCCTGAGTGTACGTAGTGACACCTGCTGGTATAAGCACAGCCTGAGTGTATGTAGTGACACCTGCTGATAAGAGCACAGCATGAGTGTATGAAGAGAAACCTGCTGATAACAGCACAGCCTGAGTGTATGTAGTGAAACCTGCCGGTGCTGAAATCCAGGAGATTTAAGGAAAACAGGATTAAAATGTAAATCGCTAGAGATCTGTAGTCTTGGATAAAGCTGGTATCCTTCAATACAAAACACTAACCGGTTTATCGTTGATGGGTGGTATTCATGCGTCTATCATTTTTCATCGTGATATGAAATCAGCAAAATGACATCTGGATGTGATAACTGAGCCTAGTACTTTGATTAAGCAACTTTCTTGTCTTTTTAAATACATAGGACATATCTGATAACAATCTGACGAGTACAGGAGCCAAAGTTTTAGGAGACTTCATACGTACCAATAAAAACACAACTCTGGAAAATCTTATAATGTCTGGTGAGTGATTATCATACTTTCTTATACCTGTAACAGTACAACTTCAATTCTGGAAAATCTTATAATGTCAGGTGTGTAATTATCATAAATTCTTATACCTGTAACAGTACAACTTCAATTCTGGAAAATCTTATAATGTCAGGTGTGTAATTATCATACTTTCTTATACCTGTAACAGTACAACTTCAATTCTGGAAAATCTTATAATGTCAGGTGTGTAATTATCATACTTTCTTATACCTGTAACAGTACAACTTCAATTCTGGAAAATCTTATAATGTCTTTGTGTAAATGCATTCTTATACATATCAGTAAAAATTCAACTCTGGAAAATCTTATAATGTCAGGTGTGTAATTATCATAAATTCTTATAAAAACACAATTCTGGAAAATCTTATAATGTCAGGTGTGTAATTATCATAAATTCTTATACACGTAACAGTAAAAATTCAACTCTGGAAAATCTTATAATGTCAGGTGTGTAATTATCATACATTCTTATACCTGTAACAGTACAACTTCAATTCTGGAAAATCTTATAATGTCTGGTGTGTAATTATCATACATTCTTATACACGTAACAGTAAAAATTCAACTCTGGAACATCTTATAATGTCTGATGTGTGATTGTCATAAATACTTATACATGTAACAGTAAAACTTCAACTCTGGAACATTTCCTGTTAGGAAAGTGATTATTATATTTTTAAAGCAATAAAAATACCATTCTAAAATATATGCTAATGTCCGGTAAGTGATTTCAGAACTAACCTTTTAGATAAAGTTCTGGTACGTGTGTTAATGTCTATAAAATGTCTTTACACTTTTACTTGTTGATTAACCCTATTCTGTTTTCAAATAAGGGCATACTAAATATACCAAACCAGAAAACATCTCCCACTTATGAATCTGATTTTGTGCGAATTTAACGTTTCAAGATAAATCCTCATTCTCTATGAAATGTGTAGAGCTATTCAGCGAACCTTCACGGTCAGTGAAATAAAGAAAATAAAAACGATGTCGTATTCTTAAGATAGAAGATTAAGTGTTGGATGCCTGTGGCAAGGCTGTATGATCTGCGGAAGGAACCAGTATGTTGCGACTTAAGTACTCTCTAAACCTTTCTTCACATCATCTTTATTTTATATTGCAGAAATTTTTTGTTTTTTTGTTTGTTTTTTTTTTGTAATTATCTTTTTATTTCCATTTTAATGTACAATACACATCATCATTATCATCATCACCACACAACACCATCATCATCATCATCATCATCATCATCATCATCATCATCATCATCATCATCATCATCATCATCATCATCATCACAATTCAATATCATCCTCATCATCACACTTATCATCACTATAATCATCCTCATCACACCATCATTATGTATCAATCATCATTATCATCACATCACCTCCACTACCACCGCCAACTTCATCATCTCAAATCAAGATCATTGTCATCATCACCACAACCATCATCATCATCATCATCATCATCATCATCACACCCTGATCATCATCATCGTCATTACAAATCAAGATCATCATCACCATTTCATTATTATCTTGCAGAAAATTGCTTCAAAGATGAAGATGGACTGTACTTTGCTGAGGCTATACAGGTATATATGTAGGTCAATGCCTATTTCTATAATTTAGATGATGAATTCACAACATCAACACTATGTTATAGTATGCAGGAGTTTCAACATACCACAATACCATTTTATTTCAAATGTTAGTTCATTTGTGTCTCTTTTGTACAATCTTCGGGGATGCAGGTGTTGGGCAATGCTTGTGGAATACTAGTCCCCGAGGTGTGCTGTAACATCTATACCACGTTTTAATTCATACACACGTACTTTACGTTCTTCTAAAATTATCAGATCTACAAAATTTATACGGAATTCTACTAGATTTTAACAAGTCTTTCGTGCAGTTTGGATTTTCGTAAGTCGCCTCCTATGTTTAAAATTAGAAGCAACTGTATGATGCAGTTTAAATCATTGCTTGGTTCTACTGTATCTGTATCTGATCTAAATTCATACTAAATGTTGCTACTCACTCGTCTTTTCTACAATCTTGCAAAACTTCCTGATTCTTGTCATTCCATACAGCAAAAGTCATTGTTTTTTTAAACTAGGAAAACAAATCTTTGAAGGAGATAGTGTTGTCCCATAATCTGTTTGGGGACGTTAGTGGTCCAGCCTTCGGGAAAGCCCTCGGTAAGTTCAGTAATTTTACTCAACGAAACTACGTTCCATGTAAATTCCGTTTAGTTATCAGACACGTCGAGATACACCATAGTCACCCGTTTTGTTGTCAGTGGTTTCTGTAAATGATGTAGCAAATGTAAAAGCAATTGGATTTTGTCGAGTGTGTGTCAATTCTTTTTGTCAAATTTGCTTTGCTTCCAATTACTTTTTACAGAGCAATGTTGGCCTATATCAGCTATGACACTTTTCAGCTATGCTTTTTAGCAAACGAAAATTCACTTTTTGACGATTGGACGAAAGTGTGAAGACAGACCAAATTGTCAGGACGCATTTTGGACATAATTCTTCTACTGCTTGCAGTCTGAAGGAGGTTGTGTTTCATCATTCAACTATCACTGGCTATCAAAATACAGTCAAAAAGGTGACTCCGCCGATGCCCCCTTCTATCCTGTCTTATCCCGAATTACTTGATCTTTCTCAGTTGCGGTTATCTACTCTCCTGTGGGAGCCTATATAAACTTCTCAGTTTCCATGTCTTCTTGCACATTTACGATGTTTTCCGCCTCCAACTTCTGGTACAAGGGGTTGTGTGAAGTTGAGGAACAGGGTGTGTGTTTTTATCAGTTATGAACTCTCAATATGTAGTTATCCAGAATGTTCCATAAGGAAGGTCGAGGATGAAAAGAAAATGTAAAGGTACTGACACGAAAATCAGAATGCAACTGCACAGAAAGAAAATCAAACGGCATGGTAACCATACCTTATATCAAACGGGTATCGGAGGCAATTTCGAGGGTGTCACCCATGCGTCCACCAACTCCATCAAACAGTTGTTGCTATAGTACGTCGCAAGGATAAGGTGGCAAAAGATTACAAATTGGGAGATTTTTACCTATTTCTGTACAACAGTTGCGTTGAGTTACATCATTGAAGCGGGACAGATCTCAAAAACATCAGAAATACATAATCACAATGGAAAATTAAGTATACACAAGTAAAACCAGGAAGACATCAGAAAAAATACAGAAGAAATCAGTCAAAACAGGTCATGTCAGTACTTACAAACACATCATAGACTGGAATAACTAGAGAATAATGTAGAGAGGGGTGATAAACCGGAAACTGAGAAAGGTGGAGGACTCCATCTGGATAAGGGAGGAAGGAGGCCTGATGAACAGAGACGAAGGGGACACCAGTTGAGTCACCTTTTAGTATATAGTCCATGTTAATAGCCATTAAGAGGCGGAATGGACGAAACAACAACCGTTCCTGCTTGCAGAATAAAAGTGTTTCGAGTATGAGATCAGTCCCGAAAACTGACAGCTGACTTTTTCTGATAGTGAACTGTTGTCAAGTCTTTTGTACCCCATTTTGCTCTGTTCGATAAATTAAACAAATGTATTTGAAAGCCCACAAAAATATAATCTTCAATTACTGTTTGTATTAAAGACATCATCTGAAATATGTGAATATAGATACAGGTGTATATTATTTTTTTTAGATATAAGTGTCTGTAGTAATATGTGACCGCTAGATTTTACTACAGATATATGTGATAACAGCATTATGTGACTACAGGTTTATGTGACTATATGTGATCATCTGTGTATTTGATTACAGGTGTATCGGATTTTTAGATGTATGTGATTGTAGTTAAATGTGACTACAGGTATACATGTATATGTGATCTATAGATGACTATAGTTAGGTTTATGTGGCTACAAATGAATTTGACTACTGGTTTGAGTGTCCATAGTTACCTGTAACAACAGATGAATATGTCATTAGAGGTAAATTATGACAATTAATACTTGTGAAATTACTCGCCTGGTGTAATCGATGACCCAGTGTTACATCTCACCTGACGCTTCACGAAGTCATACGGATTTCTTTTGTTATTCCGTTACAAACGCCGCCGGTATATCGATATCTCCTCGTTCAATAAATACACTACACAATAGTCAGGCAGCGCCTGATTAAACTAGGCCTGTAACCTTTTCATGTGGTGGGTAATCTGTGATAGACATGTACGTGCACAAGCTACATAAAATCTATAGGTACATGTCCTACATATCTGTTCTCTTTTTTTACCAATCCGTTCTTTTATCAGTGCATCTGTTAAGAAAACGATATTGAATTGACACTTTTGTTTGACAAATTTAGAAAATATTGATTTCATCCTGTGACTCAACAATTGATAAAGAATTACAATTTTCGTGTTAATTGATTACTAAGTTTACGGATATACTCTGTTTACATGTGACCTCTTCAGCCGTGAACAGCACTCTGGAGACATTCGACATTAGTTGGAACCAAATTCGTCAAAAGAGTGCAGCATTATTTGTGAAACGGTTAAAAGTAAGTATTCACTGGAATCATATTTACCCAAGTTTTCTGACCTCGGCTTTTTGTCTCGAGTTCTGCTGTTCACTACTGAGGCATATTACCAACACCAAATGACTGACCTGGAATTCGGGATTTTCTCAATGACATTTCTTGTAAAAACGGAGAAAGGATTTTTGCTCAAATGTCACATATTATCTTTTTTTGTCCTTAGTTTTGTATTATAAGATTGCGGGAAATGTCTGATTTGCAACCATGATTAATTACTTGCATCTGGAATATAAAAGCATCCAATAAAACCAAGTCCACTGCATGAAATGAATACTAGATATGTAAATATAATAACATGTTTTTAATGGATCGTTTTTATGTAAACTCAGGCTAACGTTGGACTGACACGACTTAATGTGGGGTTTAACGGATTGGGTTCGGAAGGAGCAACCGAAATGGTGTCTCTTTTGAAAACCAACAAAAGCCTGTTGGAGTTGGATCTCTCTCACAACAGACTAAAGGACCTCGATACCGTGCCTCTCGCGAAGGGTCTTGCCAAGAACAGCACATTGAAGGTTCTTCGGGTGTGTACACTGTGGTAATGTAATTGTTAAAGTAAAAACAGTGATCCGTTTCCGATGATCTTATTAGCACTATTAAGGTTTTTCTAAAAGCGCTAGAGGTTGCGAGGTTTGGAAGTGTCAATCAAGTGTTTGCCTTCATCGTTAGTTTCTTCATGTACGTGGATGCAGAGCGTTAAATTTTCGTTACTTTTTTGTGCAATGTAACATGACTAGCGCCACTTAATGTGTTTTTATCTCTATTTTCACAGATCGGTGACAATCTGCTGACGTCTGTCGGGGCTACAGCCATATTGCATAGCCTCTACGACCCACTCTCTGTTTGTGTTTTACAGACGCTGGATTTTCATGTAATCAAGTTTCTTCATAACTGGCAGCACATGCACCAGTCTTCACATCACAGCATAATTTAATCTTCAACGTTAATATCTTACCTAATGTTTTAAAGCTTAAATATTACAACATTCAATTGTAATCTTTCTGTGTTCTACCTTTTCATATATTACTCTATGTAAATGATACATTGTATTTCTTTTTATTGTTACCAGAATACCAGTGTTGATCTCGCCTTCGAGCGTTACCTGAAGGAGATCAAAGTGGACAGAAATATAAACGTGATACACGGAAAGATAATGACGGTGGGTGATCCGCCCCAGCCAACCAAAACATATATCCGTGTGAAAGCACGGGACAAGAAAAGCAAAGAAGACCAAAGAAACAAAGCGAAAACAACTTCCGGTATCAACACCATGACAACGAAGCGGTGACATGACCTGATAAGTGTAGAACAGCCACGTCATATCGACTTAATCTGGACTTGTCTTCGGTAACACACTCCCTAGCAGTCCAGCGTGAAATTCGCCATGTTACAATACATATATCGCGAGAGTACACCAAACTATATGTTGCATCGATCTAACCCGACGATAGATGTAGGTAGTTGACTACACTTCAGTTCCAAAGCTAGATAATGGAACTAGATAATGTTATTCAGTGCTGTCAGTTTTTTTCTGCTTTGAGTACTTGTAAGTGTAATTTGCGTTCATACGAATGGGCAGAGTGCTATGGTATAATCTCTACTCTGTTGACAGATGTGTAGTAGAAACATTTTATTGTTTTTGATAGTTGCACCATTCTCAAAACAAACTTTTGAAACGTATAACTTCTTACGAGTGTTACAGAAAGTGATGTTTAGATGAAAATTTGCCAATAGGTGTTAGATATTGTGGCTGTAGTTCCCGAAGTTCTGAAGTTTATCTACATTTGATCTACCGTATATCTATTTCTACAACTCAACGATGTTTACATCCAAAACAAACCCATTATCGAAAGCAGCAATTTCTTTGTGGATATGAAGATGAACTTTTTACAGATATCGATATATTCAGGAAATTAACCACAGGTCCTGGTCACAATTTGTTACATGTCTATAGGGTAATTGTCCATTATGTACCAGCAACATAGTCCTGTCAACCAAATCTTCTAGCCATCTACTTAGAAACATGGGAATACAAGCTTTTTAAATCGTTTGACAAAAATAATGTTTTACAATTAATGACGTTACCAAAGCAATATCAATTTCCTATTATTAGCAAATGACTTCGATGATGGAACTGAATATAAAAAAATATTTCCAAAATTCATGGTATTGTGAGCTATCGGAGTAGGAACATAAGGGTGTGAATATGCCAGAAATTTACTGATTCACGGTTGTTGTTATGGCTACCAGCTCGTTTTTCAAATATTACATGTTAAAATAAGCAAATTTTATTTCTATCTGCCAAAATTTCACTACATAAGAAAAGGTTTGTATAACAGAAATAACAGTTTTATCAACCTCCCGAATATACAATAGGAGTCAGAAAAAAATCTCATTTGTAAAAATAATTTCTTTTCGTTGTATAATGTTGCCATGGCAACCAAAACTTGAAACTTTTAAAAAAAACCATAAATATATTGAGTTTATAAACTATTCAATTCGTGAAGCATTGAATGAAAAGTTATCTTATATACATTTTGTAAGTTCTGATCTATTGAATAAGTGTTCTAGATGCAATTAAAAGCATTACTGAATATATATTTTCAGATGTCAGGGTAGATAACTAAGTTTGAAATAAAAAAATAGAAGTTTTGATTTAAGTTGTTTCTTCCAGTTTTTAAACATATTTCTCTTGTAATGAGTATAGCACCACTGGTATTTTTATTAAATGGTGATATAGACAGTGATCATATTTTTCATGAGATTGACATCAACTACATGTAACAGATATATAAAATTAATTTTTCAACATGTTTATTCTCTATGTGTTTTAGTTGTCATGATGGCCAATAGGTACAAACTTGGTTGGTCATTTGAATGTCTAGACATTTCCACTTCACCTGTGGTGTTTCCTTTTCTGTGAAAATACAAAAAAGTATATATAGGATCATAACAGACACTAGTAATTATTTTCATACATATTTCTAAAAATTAAACACAACACATCAATACTCAAAATGAACTTTTGATTCTGTTGTTGGTTGATATTTTATCAATTATGCAAGTGGATAAAAAACTTTACAAGCCAGTGCACTTTCCTCCATAAATCAAGTCGGTAACCTTTCTAATTTTCGAAATCGTAAGAGGCTGTTGTCAAGGAGGCCCTATTGCTTTTGATATTTTCATATTATGTGTTGAAATACTTGCTATTAAAATAGTATTAAAAAGATATAAATGGTATTAACACAGATAACCTTACAAATATATTATCACAACATGCAGATGATACATCAATTATCTTTTACGATAAAAGAAAGGAACCATTACATGAATTAGATAACTTTACAAGTACATAAAGTAAATAAAGAAAAAACACCAGTTGTTTAAATAGGCATTAAAAGATATAGTCAGGACATATACTTTCTAGAGTGGGTTTTACAATGGGGGCATTACTAACTTTACACTATATGGTGTTTGATGTGGACCTACACCAAATTCCGAGACTTAACTATGATAAAAATAATGGTAAAGCTTAAAGCATTAATGAATTAACAGTTAGAATCGAAGGGTTCTTGAACCTCTTGGAAGAAAACATATCATTAAGTCTCTTCTTATATCTCAATCCAAGCATCTTACATATCCTTGCCAAATCTAGATGTATCTTTCGTAGAAAAAAAACTTAACACAAAACTTTTTAATTTTTTATGGATTGAAGTAAATCAGATGAAATAAAAAGAGATATCATTATCAAGAACTATTATGAAGGAGGGCTTAAAATGATACACTTACAAAGTTTTATTGACTCTTTAAAACTAACCAGGATACGTAGGCTGTATACAACAGATGGAAAATGGCTCGTATTTTTTTTAAAGATATGGAAACAAGGATATTTTAGCAATTATGGTAATGACTATAAATCATAAATCATAAATGCCAACAAAACTGTAAAAAATCATTTTGGAAAGACGTATTAGAAAATATATTGTCATGAATATACAAATAAAGTCATTCTTAAAATACCCGCCTGGCAACATAAACAAATACAAATAACCACAGTAAAAGATTTAATTAAAGATCGTGGTAGTGGAGTTTTTTTTTTGTAAATATGAGTTTTCACAGAAATTCAAAAGAAGAAAAAAAAACGGAGGAAATAGTTGAATTTGACAAAGATAAATGGAGACAGATATATTTACTATCATTCATAATTATTTATTATGGATACAAACTTACAATGGTCTCAGTTTAGAATTAATCAACACATTTTGACAACTAACACGTGTTTATATAAGATTCGTCTGGATGATAGTCCATTTTGCTTCCATTGTAAAACTGAATTTAAACCATTGTTCATGCACTTTGGGATTATAAAGAAGTACAGTTTTTTAAAACAAATGTGTTATTGATTCCATTTGCTTTCAATAAGGAATCGTTTCATCTTTGGTTTATAGGATAAAAAAATAAAGTGTGTGTAATTTAATAACTGTAATCTTGAAACTATATATATATACAAGGCCAGAAGTCTTCAAACTACGTTGTCCATTTCTGCCCTAAATAACCTACTAACAGATTTGTATACCATTCAAAAATACACAACTGTTGGTAAAGGTGAAAATGATCTCCTGAACTTGAAAGAACGATGAAAGAAAATGGGAAAGATTATTAGAAATCACATAATTAAAAGATAAAAGTTATATAGCTAGCCTTGTCTAGTCCCGGATGTTTTTATATTTAATGTATGTATGATTTTTTATCATGATATAATTAATATGAAAAATCGATCTTCATTTTTCCTTAGACACTTTCTTTCTCTGTCCTTTCCTCTAGCTTTTCTAATTTATAACTGTCTTCTTTCTCTTTTTAGAAATAGTACAAAGCACTATTTTTCAACTCTTGAAATTATGATTCTGTTTTGCTTTAGTTATATGTATAAGCGTATAAATATATGCTAAGATATAAGATTTTTGTACTGCTGTAAAAATTATTTAAAAAGATACAAAAAACATATCTGTACATTTCTATTAAAATATTTTGTCCTTCAGAGTGATAGTATTACTTCTAACACCAAGATGATGTTTCCAAACCTAGTTACTGGTACCAGTATCATTACACTTTGTCCATGCCACAGCAGTCCAGTGTTGATACCTGAAGTTAGCAATTAGAACAAAGCTAATATAAGCATCCTTTTGTACACATTGCAATTAATACTTTATCATAAAAGAGTTGTAGGATTGGATGAAATAGCAGTGCAATGTTCATGGCATACGCCATATCACATCAGTAATGCAAACAAATTGATGGGCATAATTTATTTTTAAAATATTGATATGAAAATTATCAAAATGTATTATCAGAGGTCAGTTCCTTTATGGATAGCAATTCAGACAATGTCAATATTTACATGTATACATAATACAAAACAAAACTTTACAGAAGTTCAAGCAAGCAAGAGTTAAGATTCTCACTGTTAATGTAATGCTATATTTATCAAACTTCTTTCCAGGGGTTTCAAGATTATAGGGGCTAATTGATCTTGACATTCAAAACATGATGTATAAGCCTCGCAGACTCAAACCTCAAACAGTTAAAAAAAAAAAGATAATAATAATATTACAATTCCTTTTCTATACATATGTTACTTCTAAGATATATTTTCTTTATTTTTAATTAATTTTGTTGCAAAAGTTGCAAAATCTGTTCAGGATGTGTACATGGTCTAAGGAATGTCTGTCGACCATCTGAGGCTGATGTTTAAAATCACAGCTTAATTACTAATTATGGCTCCTCATAATCTAATACAACTCAACCGGAATCCATATTTTCATTAATTTTCTTCGTTATTTCAACTATCATTTTCTGAATGAAATCGCAACTAAAATAAACTAGTTGTAGATTAATTTTGCCAGAATTTAAGAAAAAGATATGCAGGGACCAAACATTAAAGACTGTAACACCAAGGATCTGTATAAGGCAGGAGCCACTTTTTTCATGTTATATTGTACATTTCTAATCACCTTGAACTCATATGACCCCCTTTATTATGTAAAAGTATCATGATATTATCCATACTCTGTCTGAAGGAGGCCGGTAGGTACTGATACTAATACAATGTTATTTGTCCTTTCCATACAAAAATGCGTTTTTGTGAATTCACTACGTGCGTATCAAAATTTAAACCGATATCTCTTACAGTAGTTGATAAATCATAAAGAATATATCGAGTATCCTAAAAAATAGAGGTTAACCCCTTATATTCCAACCACTCCTTCCTACGCATCGTGACGTCGATGTTGGGAAAACAAGTCCTATCTCCCTCATTAAGGACCTGTGGTTAAGATACAAAAGAAACGATGACTTTTATCATTTTTCCTGCACGAGTTCTACACAACGACAAAATCGGCGTTCAGCAGGTCTAGATTGATATATATATATATAGATAGATTCCTAGGCGTGGTGCGACCTGTAATTACATGCATCTAGTCTATAAATCGTCAATTATTCAGGGTAGTGACTACGATTACTGACGTACGATATCCAAGATGAGGGACCGCTCAAGATTCGATAGTTTTCTTTTTCTAGTGTCATGTCTACTTGACCGACGGATGGTTGTTTTTCGCTGTGCTTTCACATTCTGCTGAAAAACAAAAGTTCACAAGATCAGTAAAATAAACGTATTATATTCTTATAAGTCTGGCTCTGTTTATATTCATTTTCATCCTGAAACTTCGTCTGACATTTTCGGAATACATCTGTTACGTACAAAAATTGTACGTAACGTTGCATTTCATGGTGACTGAAGACATCTGTATTTCAACACTTGATTAATAATGTGTTTCAGTTTCAACATTTAAATAAAAAAAAATAAAAAGTAACCTGATGCATAAAATACATGGTCAGTGTCTTGAAATTGAAGTTACAATTTGATTATGGACAGTATATTCTCTGTGTAAAAAGTTTTATATATTATTTCAAACATTCAACGCATTTGTTTAGTGGGCATTTAATTTAATGACAATAAGATATTGAGCTGTACTGAGGGATGATTAAAGGCAAACTGGTGTTTGATTCATTCTGTTAATCTCCTATGTGATATTATCAGAACAATACTGGCTGAAAATTCACCCTTCAGCAATGTTAGTTTGGCTCGTGAAATGAAAATTACGGGTAGTATATTTTTAAATCTTAACTTCTGCATTTGTATATAGACAAGGAAAACTAGAACACTGCTCTGTAATATTATCATACAAATCCGGAACATTACATTATAAACGGCTTTACAAAAAAATACCTATATTCAGTAAAAGAAAGACTTCGGAAAAATACAACGGATGATAACTCGAAATCGCTCATAACACTTGCATGACTTTTTTGGGAACACCTGACTCGATGTCACACCAAGAGGATACCCCATTCGTGATATAGAGATTGAATCGAATTCGAAAACCACGACAAGGATACTTGTACAATGTCCCAGTGTGGACAGATCATCTAATTCCGTCAAGATGAACTCAGATAAGTTTGTAGTCACTACGGTTATTACCATACAAATATCATTTTCTATTTATCAATCTATTTTGAATTATCTATTTTATTCTATTTTTAAAAATCTTTTTGTTAATTTTTATCTATTTCATTTTATTTCTTTATTCATTTATTTTGGGTGGGTGTGAGGGGACGGGGTAGTATTTAACATTTGGTGAAAATTACACCTCTCTATCGAACGCAAGCCAAAAAGTCTCTAATACACACTGCAGATCTATGTTTGGTTTTGTTTTTTTACCATCCTACAAATGTACACCATAATAAAATATTCATAATCAGTACCGAGCATAAAAAAAAACTAAAAAAAAAGTATTTTTGTCATTTCCGGACTTATGTGACCGCTACCTGTCCTTTGCACCAGTTTAGTATTCAGTATTGAGGTCGGCGAAGTTCACAAGTTGATCGCTTACCTTTGCGATGTAAGATGGTTTGACATATCCCCACGTTTATACCAAATGCTTGTTTTGATCGCATGGATTGATTAAGGTAAGTTTGCATAAAACAGCATTTGAATACAGCTTATTTATGATGATCACAATTGATGTAGGGAGGCGGCTTGTATATGTAGTACGGATGACGGATTCACCATACACACATGGCACAATATACTAATTGACAAGTCAATGTGTGTTACATACACTTCGTTGTTACAAAAATAGTGCGTGTTAACATTCATGTATGGCTGACATTATTCGCGTAATATCTATGTAAATAGATGCTTCAGCATGCATATACATATCCGTCACATTAAACCAAGTTGTATGTAACAGGGGGGATAATTCTGTCACTTTGACCATTTTAAACTCTATTCAATGTATACATTTTTATCACTAGAACACATTGTACCGTCGTAATACTATACAAGGACTAAATGCTCAAACATTATGTCCACGTAGATTAGCAGATTAATTTCTGAAATTATTAGCTTTGAATCGTCAACTTTAATTAAATTTATCTTCCTTTTGCCCTCGTATTGCCTTCGTTATCACAAGTCCTTTTTCCCTGGATTTCTAACTGTGGTGTAGTATTTATTGTTAATTATCAAGTATTTGCATGATTTTAGACTCTATATTAGTGTAACATATATTCAAACATTAATCTTTATATTTCACAGCCCACTCCTCACTTCCCAACGTCTATGGAGCGATAAAATGAGTTATCAGATTGCATTCAAAATTTTTCCTCAGAGTTTGTAGCATCTTGTTGTTGAATATTATATTAAGTCGTTAAAGACTATGGGGAGGTTTATCCATAACTAGGGAGGAATAGGGTCGGGTGTGGTGGGAGAGTGTTTTGTGGTCAGTAACTATCATTATCTCATTGACAAATAATCCATTTTCTGTGGCGATATCAAGTAAGAGGTGTTTTAGGCTCAAAAGCATGCCATGTGAATTCGTTTTTGTAAACGTGGTTCACACTCGAGAAATTGATATTATCTGCTTGATTGACCAATGTTTAAATGATGGGTGTCGTCGATGAAATAGAAGACGCTTATTTTTTCCGGAACACCAGGTCTCAGTATTACCTTGTATTAATGGTGTAAATCTTTCTTCTGTTCATATTTTATCCTCGGATCACCATTATCAGTAGGTTTGGAAATTTGTAAATAATTCGGGAATTTTATACTGTTTCTGTACGACTTTTAAGAAACACTGTCTTCGTTACACCCAGAGCTGCAAAAGTTTATTGTATATTCTGAAACGCTATGAACAGAAAAAAATTAAAAGTATCATTTTAACTTGTAGTTGGGACCTTCAGACTTTCCTAAATATGACGCTTTTATCAAGACTGTCACAGAAAGGTACGTTTTCTTCTTAGGATATTATTGAAGTTATAATTATATTTCAGGAATATCATGTTTTGGACTGAGAAATAGCATTTAAGAATTGTTGTGTTTTAAAGTGTACACTGAGAGTAATTTTATATTTAGATATAATGTTAAGAATGCCGTAAAAATAATAATAATGAAAACCCCGTCAAAATCCGTCGCCCCAGTGTCGAGTTATTAAAGCTCAAAGTTGTCGATTTTCACCTGTCCGCCCAGACCTAATCAGCCGAATCGTCCTTTCCGCGGAATCGAGGCTCGTCTACTCGTGACGTCATAAGTTCAACAGAAATGGCAGTCAACATGACTGACAGTGACAACGACACCGCAACTGAGAGCGATTTGAGCATGAGTTTTGAGGAGTCTGATTATGGTGTGAATGATATGTCTGAAGACGGAATAGTCCTATTTGAACTGGAATTACAAGACGATGTATCCAGTGAGGAGGAAAATGACCCTTCGAAAAGTGACGATCGCTTGGGCAACATAGATTGGCACGTACTTCACTGGGTCTCACCAGTAGTCGTGAAAGTAGTCGAACAGTGAATCGTCGTTTCAAAGAAACAAAATAAAATTGGGTGTGGTTTTGGACTAATTTTACTATCTTCAAGTCTCGATCAACAATTTCTGACGTCGGGAAATCGCGTTTGTGCAAGACTATGCATACATTCACGAGGTGTCGGGAATTTTCTTAAAGAAGTTTCGTCCGAGGGGAATTTTTCTTTCCAGGGAATTTTCGTAGCACTATGGATATATATAGATAGCGTGTCAGCAACCAATTATAACACCCTCCGCTGTGTTAATAATAAAAATTGGATGTTTCAGAAGTTTAAACAATTATTTGACTGGTTTTTACCCTAGCACTGGTACGCGTCTGTTGTTAGTCGACAGGCGTGTCGCCTCACAGGTGTCACAATTGTTTTTTCCAGCCACAGAGGTGCTAATTACCTAACCAGGCACAGGTGTGATCATGAGTTTAGATGACATCTCTACACTGTGAACTGTGTTTTCAAATCAAGATTGGTGATCTTATTGTTATTTTTACGATCGCAAAATTAATAACTAAACAACATCGTCTTCTGGAAGATCGAAAAACCAAATACACCTTATACAAACAACATACACACATAACCTTTTCTATAAATTCTAATAATTCTATTCTATACTATATAATAGTAGTATGAAAATTCTCAAAATTCCCGTGACCCATTCACGACTAGGCCTTCTCCGAGTATTAGGCATTCACGATTACGAAGGAGTAATATTCCTATGACCGCCTAAGTCATAGACTAGCCTATCAATTTAAAATGTTTAGTTGTAGAATTAATAACAAAATATCAACCTAACAAATATACTTTTGTTTAATCAACAATCAGTTTTATTTATCGACGTCATGCATCGACACCCTATCCGTGTTAGTGTTAGGACAACCATACACACCGCTTCCCTCCTCGATAGGAAGCCATTTTAGCGGATTTAAGCGCTAATTCACCTACCCCTCGTTCACTACCTTAGATATTGCGAAGATGTGAAGTACTTTCACGTAAATAAACAAAGAAATTACCACGGAAAATCCCAAAATAGATCACAATCACATGTAGCACAGTAAAGACAATATGGCTGCATCAACAAAAGCGTTGAACTTATGACGTCACAGGTTTGGGTGCCCGAAAACGAGGTCAACGCCTCTCAGCCAAAGGTGTGTTTTTCAGAAAAGTCGCAGTTTCTCAGTAACGGAACATTCCACGGCATTCGCGTTTTCGGCATAGTGTATTTTATGTGCAGAACTATTTTTCAAGGTCAACATAGCTGACCTCTCAGGGTACACTTTAAGTAACAGAAATGTTTCACATGAGTCGCAGTCTAGCCCATCGTTAAATGTTTGTTCCGAAACGAAACTTACATATTATGCAAAATGTAATATCAAACTGTACGGAAAAAGGTGCGTCAACGAATCGGCACTCACATAATTCTCTTCCTCTTAAAAACTGTAAAGCCGGCTTAGACATGTTATCAAAATGATCTTTTACAAATCATACAGGCAGATTCTTAAGAATATTGCACACATACAAGAGTGTCTGCCAGACAAGTGACAAATGGACGCGTCTCACACATGCACGTGCGCATTGTGTGAGAATTTCAGCGGTGCCTAATGAGGTACAGGTGGACGACAGGTTTGCAGTGCACGTGCAGGGATTGAATCAGGGTGACGATATCACAATCCAGGCCAACATATGTGATGGTGGGGATGTCCTATTCACGTCGACAGGATGTTTTAGAGCCAATGAACATGGATGTGTTGACATCAGTGAACAGGAAAGTTTGGCTGGGAATTATAAAGGTAAGTTAAATGTGATTTCGTTGCCAGTCTGAATCGATGGTGATACATTCGAAATCACAATGATTGATAACGAACAAAAATAAGGAGCTGTAATTACTATAAGGAATGAAACTGCCAAAATTACTCTGCACACCATCACATGACATGTAATATACTATATTTTTCCGTTGAACAGAACAATATTTCTCGTTAATTTTTGTATGTCAGTGAGTAGGTAAAACATTTCTTGGTTACTTTTTCTCTGATTCATTGGCTTATGAATGTCACTCTTTTAAGGTGTTGACGCCATGGGTCTTATGTGGAGTATGGAGCAGGCTCCGGGAAATAGACCAGGGTTACGTCCGGGTAAGAAGGACGTGTCCACTCCAGAAATTATCAGTCTGAACGTGTTCAGTGGACATCACACTACAGAGGACATTGCACAGAAAGCCCCGCAGCTTTTGGCAACTACCATTCTCGAGCGATTGTACAAGGCGAGGGATGTCAAAATGATAGATGTCGCGCAAGGCTCTCTGCGGGGCCGTCTGTTCATTCCTCCAGGTACTCACCCCTGACTGTCACTAAAATTGTTATCGATCTCATTGATCTGGATCTATTTCTTGAATCTTGATGTTATGGGGTCTGTCGTTTGTGGTAACTTGAGTAAAACACATTTTATTGTTTTTTTTTTGTTTTGTTTTTTTGTATTTCCGAATGGTTCCTAAATGGTGGACTTTGCATACATATTTATGGCCAAATCCATTCCTGAATGAGTTGGTAGGTCCTTTACGTTTAGTATAAATATATACATATGTCGATGGACATGTGTGAAACCAAGTTTATGTCTCAAATTGTGTGTATTCTAGGTGTCTATTATTCATACCTATACATACTACCATTTCCAAATTGTGACATGTTTTGTATGCCCCTGAAACTGTGGTGTGTATTATAGGTCCCGGCCCATTTCCTGGTGTGATCGACATGTACGGCACTGCGGGGGGTCTCATTGATACAAGGGCGGCATTGCTGGCATCGAGAGGGTTTGTAACTCTGGCCTTGGCATTCTTTGGTTACCAGGACCTACCTAAATCGTTTTGGGAACTCGACCTAACATACTTTAAGGTGAATTTTATCTCGTCGTTCCGTTAATTTCTCATTTTAAAATGTCATTTTTTTTGTTTATTTAATTAATTATCGTATTTATCATTTTCATTCGCTTAATTTTGATAATGTGTAAATTGATTTCCTACTACAACAGTTTAGAACAAGTTCACACTTGGAGGTTTACGGTTTATGTCAGATTAAAGTGAATCATGTTTAATCGAGGTTTGATCTGTATCGGAGAACATTACAAAACTCTACGTACAGTAAAGGCCCGCATTCTGCGGGGGGTGGGGCTGTCTAAAATGATAACGAGGTAGCACGTATTGTTCTAAGATAAATTAGTTAGGCCCTTAGTGGAACCTTTTTCCATTTGTTTATATGGCATGATCCGTATATTCATGGAATTATTTTCTATGTGTTGTAAACAATGTCTTCAAAGGATATTTCTGCACGTTTCACCTAATACCATAACATACAACATTAGAATTCTCTGATGAAAATATCCCTGGTACAAAAACATGATGATGCATACTTCCCACTTACGACGTTCCGATTGTGCTTACGTTTTGAACTTTATTACGTAGATATGTGTTTGTTTGCCATTTTATCTTCAACATTCATTTAATTGACAACATGTCCTTGATGTTTCAGGAAGCTGTTAATTTTCTCAGCACTCACCCAAGCGTTATTCCAAACGGTATTGGTATACTAGGACTGTCCAAGGGGGGAGAATTAGCTCAATTAATAGCAATCCATTGTCCACAGGTACTTATATGTGTCAGTATGCATTCATTACCAACTTTATACGTATTTCTGGTCACGTTGTCACGTATTTTCCTAGTCATTTGTGTACATTAAATGCAGAACATTGATGTCTGTGTGAACGTTACTATCACTACTACAAAATTACATTTGTATATCTGTGTGTACTTTACCATCACTACTACAAAGTTATATCTGTGAACGGTAACATCAGTATTGTCTACCTTTATTTCCCCGTTTAATTTATCAAATTTAACACAGATTTAACCTATGTAGCTCACTTATCTGACAGGTGCGTGCTCTCATCAGTATCAACGGTGTACCTTGTCTCTCTATCTCCGCTATGAAGAATGGTTGTGAAACAATGGAACCGGATGCCCCGTGAGTTATCAAGTATACAGAAGCTGTTGGCTGCTGCTCTGGATTGAACTGTTGCAATACTAATGACCTTTGTAGATATACTTTTATATACCACTAAATTTCCTTTGTGAAAGTCCGTCAGGTCAACGTGTCGTGATGTTGTAACAGAGCATCAAGTAAGGGCAACGGAAATATCAGAAAAGACCACCGTCCTAGTTCACGAATAGATTTTAATTCTAAGTTATAAATTTTCCTGAAAACTTGGCATGTTGTTGAAGGGAGTATACTTAGTCTTTGATGTACTAGTTATGACACAGATGGACAACATGCAAATGATGTACTGTAAAAGTATGTATATGTATCCACTTACTTACAATACTTTATATTGTAAATGGTGAGCTATGTCGGTAAACAAATCAGTACGCATCTCCATTAGATCTATCACATGTTTCTATCGCCATAATGTTCTTTATTACAGACGGCATTGTCTGAAATGAAGTCACTATGTTAAGCACAAGTTATAGTTCTCCGTATATCAATGACACATTTCTCTTCCAGATTGGATTCTTCTAAATTTGTATTTACCGATGAGAATTATGTAATATTTAAAAACTGCGTCGTACCAAAGGAAAACGCCCATTTTTTCCCGGTAAGATAGAAACTTAATTCCATTTGTGTTCAGTTGTTTTCTAAATAGTAAGTGTAATAATGTTCCTATTGATTTATTGAGTTAATCTAATTGCCTTCTGTTATCTAACCTTTAAAGATAAATACTGTTTATAGTTCATCATCTTGCTGGTCAACGGCTTTGATCGGTCGTATTCATGTACTCAACACCATTTTGGTCTTGATGACGTTCAGGTGTGGCAGCGAGATGTGGCATTCCTAAATATGTGTGGCTCAGATGATCAACTTACAGACTACCGACTGCAGCAGCGACAGTACGAAGACTTCCCAGAGGACCATAAACACAAAATGGAGTTGGTTGTGTACAAAGGAACTGGACATATGATCGAGCCGCCCTACACACCTGTCACTAGTCTTTCCTATCATAAAGTTTTTCGTAAGTGTTCTATAATTCGCTGTCATGAAATTATATTCAAATACTGTGAGAAACAACTTTCGGTAATGTATCTTTTTGAAAGAGTGATTTTGAAAGGTATTTCACTCATGTATCAACTGTTATTGTTTACATTCCCCATAATTACCCTAGGAAATCACAATACTTGAGTAGAAAAATATTCACTTAACTTTTTAAAAATCTTTCTTTTTTGTTTAATTTTTTTTATCATATCGAATTTATAATCAGAGTTCAGGAAATCCTGCTTTAAGATGTATCGACAAGTCTCGTCTAAACGTTATACAAGATGCATAAATATATCGTATAGTCATCGACTTGCGGGAAGAAAACGGTGACACGATTTCAGATTTCGACAATGCAAAGTACATATACATGTGATGGTATACTTAACATAAGTTAACAAGCCTCACTTTGTTTGGGGTTAACGCATTACTTTGGGTGTTCCTCTACATAATTTCTTCAGTCGACTAGTAGGTTTCAATTGTTAAGGTCCTTAGCATTCAGCTTCATATGTACATGTGTATATAATGCGTTATTTGGCTTTGTTTATCTAATTCTGAATTTGTATTGAAATGTGCTTTTTTTTGACAATTACACTTCGAACAGTCCATGTGGAAATTACAACCGGTTTAACAAGTTGTACGTATTTTATGTCCAGAGATATCCACACCTACTTTCTTTCATAAGAGGGGCTGAAACAATGATGTCTGCACTTCCTTTGATTAAATGATTGCCAGATATCGTCTCGGGACATCTCTCAGATTGTACAAAAGACACACATTTAAAGTTAGACGCAGTAGAATCAAACAATGAATTAAATTGCATCATAAAGCTTTCCCGTCCGTCCAGGACTTGTCAGTGATGCTATGGACTTACATTTTGAAGCCTGGGAGGTTACTCAGGAAAATCCGAAGTGATCAAAAGAAAAGAGAAAATCAAGACGGGGAGGTGCACGAACCCTATAAATAAATACAATTTGTAACTTTCATATATCAGATAAATTTAGAACAACGTAAAGTATATGTATATTCTGAAATAAAATTTCATTAATTGTGATAGTTTATAATTTATCTATTAACTAGAGTCTGAAACATTCTTTTGTCAGTTTATAATTTATGTATTGGCTTGATTCTGAAACGTTCCTATGATAGGTTGTAATTTATCGATTGGCTAGAGTCTGAAACATTCCTGTGATAGTTTATAATTTATCTATTGGCTAGAGTCTAAAACATTCCTTTGTCAATTTATGATTTATCTATTGGCTAGAGTCTGAAACATTCCTTTGTCAGTTTATAATTTATCTATTGGCTAGAGTCTGAAACATTCCTGTGATAGTTTATAATTTATCTATTGGCTAGAGTCTGAAACATTCCTTTGTCAATTTAAAATTTATCTATTGGCTTGAGTCTGAAACATTCCTTTGTCAGTTTATAATTTATCTATTGGCTAGAGTCTGAAACATTCCTGTGATAGTTTATAATTTATCTATTGGCTAGAGTCTGAAACATTCCTTTGTCAATTTATAATTTATCTATTGGCTAGAGTCTGAAACATTCCTTTGTCAGTTTATAATTTATCTATTGGCTAGAGTCTGAAACATTCCTGTGATAGTTTATAATTTATCTATTGGCTAGAGTCTGAAACATTCCTTTGTCAGTTTATAATTTATCTATTGGCTAGAGTCAGAAACATTCCTTTGTCAGTTTATAATTTATCTATTGGCTAGAGTCTGAAACATTCCTTTGTCAGTTTATAATTTATCTATTGACTAGAGTCTGAAACATTCCTTTGTTAGTTTATAATTTATCTATTGGCTAGAGTCTGAAACATTCCTGTGATAGTTTATAATTTATCTATTGGCTAGAGTCTGAAACATTCCTTTGTCAGTTTATAATTTATCTATTGGCTAGAGTCTGAAACATTCCTGTGATAGTTTATAATTTATCTATTGGCTAGAGTCTGAAACATTCCTGTGATAGTTTATAATTTATCTATTGGCTAGAGTCTGAAACATTCCTGTGATAGTTTATAATTTATCTATTGGCTAGAGTCTGAAACATTCCTTTGTCAGTTTATAATTTATCTATTGGCTAGAGTCTGAAACATTCCTTTGTCAGTTTATAATTTATCTATTGGCTAGAGTCTGAAACATTCCTTTGTCAGTTTATAATTTATCTATTGGCTAGAGTCTGAAACATTCCTTTGTCAGTTTATAATTTATCTATTGGCTAGAGTCTGAAACATTCCTGTGATAGTTTATAATTTATCTATTGGCTAGAGTCTGAAACATTCTGTGTCAATCATTGCATTAATACCCTCCACGTAATAAGTGTTTTACCGTTAAACTTATGAACTGATTTACATTCGGTATTTATCTAGGTATGACATTCGTTATCGGTGGTGTGCGAGAGCAGCATGCACGTGCCCAAGAAGATGCATGGAAAAGAATACAAACATTCTTCCGAACACACCTTAAACCTTGATCATGTATGTGTCGACAAGGCTTACACAAATCAACATGGTATGTTACACGGAGCTTCCATAAATCAACCAGTCACAATAGTATGTTATAAGTAGCTATACTGTGAGATTCCTGGATTCTCTAGCGACCTTTCCTGATTTGTCATCAACAAACCCAAATGATGAATTAATGCATTAACCAAAAACATTTACAGTTAGAAATTCATAATTCATTTCAACTTAAATTGATGGCAACGAGTCCACCCTTTGATTGGTCGTTTTTTGAACGAATAGAAGATACACCATGTTGCTCGGTTGACCAACCACTGTCGTAGGCCCATGCCAATGCGCCCGAGTAGCCGTGATTATATGCGTATTGATATTGTTGTTGTGAAGTCATTCCACCCCCTTTCTTCTGGTTAAACTCCGCAATAACCACGGGTTTGTCGACACCAAATTCACTGAGGCTGTGCTGTAAAACGGAAGTAGTGCACATACAAGTGCAGGAGCTAGAAGGTCCGCATGAATGGCAGCACCCCAAGGATAACAACATAAGGATTTCAAGACGGACTGAATAAGGTGGTTGAGTTCATTTGTGAAGATATGAAACCAATACTTAATTTATGCATAATGTTCTTAGAAAACAGCAAATAATTTTCACGACAGATAAACAATCATATTGAGAAATATTGAAAAAATAGGGATAAGGTTATGCTACTTTTAATTGAACATCGGGAAAATGCTGTTATATAGGGACATTGCCCATGAATGTATACTGATATGATTTTATATGTAATTTTAATTAATATTATAAGCGTAACATCAACACTGGGGAGTCTATCTACTGATATGTCCTGATAAAAATGTGCCAACAAATCACAGAAACTGACGTATTCCGAAGAACCTACCTGGAAAGGAGATTGTCCATCGTAGTGACCGTTAAATGCGTACGTATGAAAGGAGTAGAATGTCAGTGTTCCCTGAAGTGAGAAAACCATAGTTAAACAACCAATTATGCCATTAAATATATACAGTGTACTAAGATGTATTTTGTTCATTTTTGTTAATAAAACGCAATATGAAATTTCTCGTGAGTTGACCATGTTTACAGTAAAAAGTAATAACCAATTTGTTTGTAACCTCGGTTGTTTTTATGTCCACGTCAATTTTATGAGGGATTGGATGTATGTCCGTCACGTTCCGTTTCGAATCGATGTCATATGTTGATAACCTCTCAACGTATTTTGTCCATATCCTCCCCCATTGTATCTTACAATTACGGTCTACACCTTGTTGTATTAAGATGGTAATCGGTTAAAGTTAAGGCTCAGAGCTCATGTTTGTCAATTTGTACAAATTCACCAATTATACTTCCATGCATTGGAGCAGGGTATACAAACGTTTTATATTTACCAGCCCTGATTCACACTCTCAAGGCAAAACGTTAAATGTTTACGAATATGTTTCGAGACCGCAATAGTCATTCCCATATTAATATGCATACTGTGATTACAGAAATCTCAATTAATGTTTAACCTGGTACATAATGTCTCGTATAAAATGTCAGAGCACGTGCTCTTGCGGTTTCCTTCAGATCCCCACGACGTATTTGCTTTTGACTCATAACCAGCATTCATTTTTCATCTCTTCATTGTTCTAGGACATTGACTGTTGACATGTTTTACGATTTACAATGCACACATGAAGACTGTCTTTTTCGCCAGCTGTCACAAAATAAATTGAATGTACCAACCAGTTATCATCCACTTACTAGCTGTTTTCCGCCAGCTTTCTTCAGACACTCGTCTTTGTACAAGTTGTGGAATCCGAAATTATCGGTGTTAGATTTAGGGTTCCAGGCACCGACAGTGACCATAGCGTGAGGATCGGCACTCTTGATGGCGGCTGCCTGCCAGTTGATGAACCTGTATGTCAGAGTATGATAGACTTATCTTAAAACGATTCCACAAGCATTATTACAACACTAGAAGAATCCTTTCTAAAGTACACTTTCATGTCAATTGGAAAATTACCATGATTTGTCACATAGGATGTAATTCAGCAAATAAATAGGGTTTTTGGTATGTTGAATAAACTAATCGAAACAATAATACTGCAAAGCATACATGATGAGTGTAATTTGTTACCACTTCAACTGAAACTTATCCAGGATGTTCGAAGAAATGCAGTCATAGGCCGTATTGGTAAACCATACCATATAACTTCATATCAGTAGGGACTTTAATCCTAACAATATACCCTAACATTAAACTATTGTTTTCCACTATATAAACATACTTGGCAAGTTCTTGGGCGGTGTACAATTTACCGGCCCATCCGGGACCCTGATTGTTCAATGGTCGGGTGTCGAAACACGGATCAGCGCTGTACACGTTCGCTTTGAGTTCGCCTTCGGGTTCGTTCATAATGTCCCATCCACCAAGAGCCGGTTCGTCCTTGAGCGCCTGCACCATTGGAATGAGCGCGTGGTCAATGTAGGACTGAAGCTTGGATTGATCCTTGATTAGTCCATCTAAACGGTAGTGGTAGTTTTGGTTGACAGCCGCATTCCAAAGCGTAGGGAAGATCAGGATGTTGTAGCGCCTCGCGGCTTGGAGATATTCTCTCATGTCACTGATGAACGTGCCGTCCCGATCTAATCCTGTCACTCGACCGCTGCTGTCGAACTGTGGTGATGTTTCCCCCTCAATATGTATCCACGTTCCTGTTTATTACCGAAGCAATAGTAAGTGATGAATGCACTAATCTCAGTTTTTTTCCATCATTTCATGTAGTCACACGTGACATCAGATTGAAGACAACTATAACAAATTTGCTTTGAAACCACATGTTCTCTTTACAATGGATACGTAATACAAAATGCCGCAAGCCTATAACAATATTTTGATGTATTGATAGAACTAGATTTGTATAATAATTCCCCGTATAATGATTTCCATTTAATATAATTACAAAATTAGGAAATATAATGAAGATGTCATTAATTAACTACTTCATAGAATCCGATGACTCAACACCTATTAAAACCCTATTTATTTAGAAAATTAAATCACCATGACCAATCAAGATTCATTTTAGTCTCTGCCATCAAAGGGATTTTAATCATACTAGATAATGCAGTAATTTTACAACTAGATGTCCATTCCGGTGCTAGTATGCTTGACCATGCAATTGTTATGTCAATATGCCTGCGATATGATTCTTTCAGTTTACAATAATCCTTGTAACATTGCTCAGAAATTAAAATGAGCTGAATGCTGAAAGCCAACAATTATTCACATGGTTTCATCGCCATCAACACAGATGAAACCTACTTATAGAGTTTCCTCCAGCCTGGTGCACTTGTTGCAGGGCCTGTTCGAACTTTGTCTTCCTCGAGGCGTACTGGTGGTTTCCAAAATCATAGGCATATGACACCCATGGCTGGTTTGTACCGGACAAAAAGATTCGATGACCATCCATCATAAGGTGGGTCCCTTGTACGTACAGTTTGTGCGTGCCGGAACTGTGCGTGTGACCTGGGGAGAAGAGATTTATACAGTGTCAACAAAGAACAGCAGACGTTTGAAAGAATTATGGAGTTCTGAGTTATCTTTCTAACATTGATTAAGATTTTATTTAATTAATTTAATTTTATTTATTTATTTTATTTCCGTGTCACACATTTTTACACAATATATACAATTTCTTTAAAATATATTCCCTCATAGTAAAAATGCCCACCCATTAATTGGCTTATGAGACACGATTATATACATAAAATATACAGTTATACTTAAAACGGTTATCCATTATTTAAAAGTGACCGCCTTCTCCTCATCGCTAAGAATACATAGTTTCCAAGGTTAAGCCAGTGAATTGATCTCTCGAAATGTCAGACCGAAGAGTAAATAAAAAATTAAAGTATGAATGTGAATGATCTTCACACAATTTAAAGAAGACAGTCCTACGTCGAAAACCAATTCTCAAACAAGGAAATGGAACACCAACATGATTTACGTGTTTGAGATAGAGTCAATGGCTCTGATGTGAAAAATCTCAAACTTTATTACATTCCTATGACCCACATACACATAATAAAAAACACTATTATTTACTTGGCGGGTTTGTAACAACAGGTGTTGGTGAAGTCATGTGTGAAGTCCCTGACATCTTGCACACAAAGTTGGAGAGATCGTAGTGAGCCACACACATCTTGTCACTCCACAGACCATTCGGATAGTTAGAGTCGTGTAGGGGCATCAAGGCACATCCTTCCTCGTTGTTGTAATTGTCAGGCTCGCCTGGGAAAAACCCAGATAATTACATAAGTAGCGATATGTATCGTCCGTATATTTTGTTTCAGTAAATGCATTACTCTAAATATAGGCGTAAGCTTCAATGTGTGTGTGTGTGTGTGTGTGTGTGTGTGTGAGAGAGAGAGAGAGAGAGAGAGTGTGTGTGTGTGTAAGCTTTAATCCCAGCTTACTTTATAGTGTGTCTACTCGAAACAAAGATAGGCGATTCCTCACCGGAGTGGAAGTTGTTGTAGGTAAAGGCCGATCCATCTGTCCAGCGGAAGTGTCCAGTCGATTCTTTTTCTAGCCCAATCCAGCAGTATCGACCGGAATCTGTCAACATTTGATAAAACATTTAGATTCTAACTGGAGACTTTCATCGTGTCTGAACAAGGTTATGACTAATAATAAGTATAATTAATAGACCGGTGTACTTTGGTAATTTTCAAAAATCATTTGTCAGTTTTATGTCATGGTCATCACACGTATACGTACGCTGTCGACAGAGGTTGTACACATGCTGGTTCTCCGCGGCCGAGTGGATGGACACTAGATGACCACCATGGGTCTGACAGTAGTGTTCGGCGTCGTAGAACGACTTCTTCTGGGTCACCAACTGATAAGTCACACCTGATAAAGTGTGATAAGGAACGAGATTAGGAACTTTTAATGTTAAGATCATATTGGCAAGGAAATCAACAGAAAAAATTAGTTGTACTCGCTATGTATTCTATCATGCTCTCAAATTATCAAATTTTTTTAAAACTTATGGAAATGAAAGAACTTAAAAAAACTAGTCACGTGTAACCCTTATCTACACATCGTATAGTGATAATATTCCGATCATGATTTCGAAAACAGGCTTTACCGTTTATAGAAGTATTGTGATCTCACCCAGAACGTCTCCAACTAGTACAGCTAACACCCCAACAGTCAACCACTTGTCCATCGTCCTGAAGATGGGATACATTATGTAGGTCCAATCGTAAATTAGATAATAATAATTGATGTTCAGAGAATGAATGTCAAAACAGCAAACCCGTTAGGAGCCTTAGCGGCAGAAGTAGATGGGGAAACCACATACGTCTGAACAAGGTCTTTTACCAGGATATCATAAACCAATTACAAATGAAATAACACACAAACGAGCATTATAACAGTACATTTATTACAAGAGCTCGTTGCTAAAGATGTCACTTTGAAAGCAAGATAGAAAATACTGACATATCAACACAATTTTACTTTAAACCCCCACTCGATGAAACTTTGGCTAAATATGAATAAAAAAGAGATAGAAACCACAATAAAAGTACAAGGACAATAAGACTAGGTCTTTCGTTATGGTAAACGTCTTCGCGGTCAATCCAAACGAGAACAAAGTCAGCGGAACCACCAGGCATACTGACGAGCATCAAACAGTTCAACTTCGTCTCAGATCAGCATGTTCATATTGCTAGTTATCTACATCTTGCACCAAAATCGTGACTATATTTGAAACAAGCCCCCGAATTTCGAATTGGCTTTGACACACGTAAACACTTTAGGTCATAGTGCCTTCTCAATGCAATACCTACATCTGTACTTGATTAATGGTAGTTTTGACCCCCATCAATTTACAGCGTAACACACTGTTACTGGACAAGCAGTATTTTCCCTCGCGTTTCTAATCGAGTTTAAAGATTTATATCATTAGTACGCATGCGCTAACACTAGCAATCAAATAACAGATCATTCCAATTCATGCCTCCATGTATTTTGAGGGGCAAATATCTGTTTGATCCGAGTTTTAGGTTCAGAGGTACTATTACTATGACAAAATCACCGCATATGTAATGTGGCTATATCATGAGATGAAACAAACCCTAAAAGATTGTTTAAAAAAATCCATCGAAGATGACATGCATCAGAAAATATTTCGTTACAAGCACTTGTTTTTTTAATTTTTTAATTGATATATTGAGTAGTAACTGGATATTGAATCTAACTGGACCAGAGTTGTAAGAAATTCGGTGACAACACCGGAAGAAAGTTTAGTTTTGCAAGGGGATTGTACTAAGCAGCATGCAACGTATCCAAACAGCGGATTTAATGCAATCGTCTGATGCGAACGTAAATCTGACGAACAACTGCTGAAGTCAGGTAGAAGAGACATAATAGGAGATTCAAGACAGGTCAGAAAATAGTATTTCCAGTGAAAATTTAACAAGTTGTGTTGCATCTAAGATTTTCTATAAATAAGATTGACTCTGGCGCGCTGAAACAGGAAGTCGTTCAAGGTATTATGATACTTGACCAATATGTCGCCGCGGACGTAAATTATATGTAAATTTGGTTGTTTTATAAAAATAATGAGGGCGAACACCAGGTCCGGTTCCAGATGTTTATTAGGTTAAACCCTAAAGACCCCCAACAATGGGTCAAGGGTCCTAAAGTAACATAGGGCTCATTATGATCGTAGACAATTGACTGATATCATTGGGATCGTAGATGATTAAATTTACGGGACAAGGTGTTCATAATCTGGACGGAGGTTTCAATCGTCCGTAATGGTCAATGTCCCCTTTGTCCACTGAAAACCCGCCAAATACAGACAAAGACCAAAGAACGAAAACGAGACAATAACTGGACATAAGTAGACACACTACGTCACACGGGCAAACTAAACATATAGACGCAACATATATACATACATTTATAACGATCACAGACGACGCGGAAATCCAAACGGCGCGACGCTAGACAACGGCGGCCAAAATTACCTAAAACTTAACCCTATTACATATACGATAACAAACTGCTTTTATTTCTAATGTTAAATAGTAGTAAATTAAACAAAATGTTATGTTATGTTCATATGTATGACCTATAGAGCCATTATTCTATGAAGATTATTGCACGAAGTGTAACTGTATAGAATCTGCCTTACCTGTTTGTCACTCAACGTTATACACTTGTGAAGAGCTACTGAACCTTTACAAGGATTAAGACTTTACATAACCTTTCTCCCGTGCCGGCAATATTCTTATCAGTAAACGCATTTTCTTTAAGTGACACATACAGTACGAAGCTTTCTCTTAATACCTGTCGTATTTCTCACATTCAGGACCCTAACGCTGAATTCATGTTTGAAGATTAGCCTCTATTTTAAGTGCTTAATTATGTTTCTCATTACCATAGCTTCCTGTATATACTTCGCGAGCAAGAAAATTCATCATGAATTTAAACGCGTGCTTGCGACACCATCATAATTATATTTTTGTGTTTTTATCATATCTATAGCACATCAATATACAGCCTACCCATGTGTTTTTAATATGCAGGAGTGAGTTTTTTCATATCAACGTAAATAATGTCAAAACCGGAATTTAGAAACCGGTCTCAATATTTGCTTTAATTTTAGAGTATCCTTGACCTTTACTCCTTAACGCAGAGGTAAACATGGGATAAAATCTATCGCACCGGTGGGTACATTTTGTACCAAGATCTGTTGAAGTACTTGAGAATAGCAGGTCTGCAGGTAAGATATTTTCACTTTAATAGTTTGTCATGCGATTTGAATTCCATGGGATGACTAACCATAACATATAGCCATCCGGTATCCTTGTGTTTTTTACCAGAGTTACCCCTCTTTGTACTGCCTTGCCAATGGTCTCGTTCCTCTGTAACAAAAGTTTGGTAAATGAGAACAAACCTGTAATTTTATTGCCTGACCAGGTGAAGGTCTTGATGTTTGTACAAAAGACAAAAATACGTAAATCATTCACCATTCAATACGACTTTAGCGTAGGACACAATAGAAGAAAACAATGAATAAAAAGTACATCGTCAGTCGGATGAAAAAGCTCTAAACAAAGTTTAGAAGGCGACAGAGGAAAAAAAATCATCGAAAAATGTCGAAACAGATGAAGGAGGGTAATGTCTAAACATAAGAAAGAATTTCACTGGACCCCTAGGATTGAGGACGTGCAAGGTGTTACGGGAGATTTATTAAAGTGTTAAATTGCTACACCATTTGCGTAGTCACGTTAGCAAATGAGATATATATTCATAACAACAAAACCTACCGGGCATACGAACGAATATATCTACAACATCATACCAGCGGATCTAACAAATGATTGTTGCGTTGTACGTAAAACTCACGGTAAGTGGATGATGTGGAAGACACTAAAAAGGGTCTGTCGTGTCCTATTTTCCTTTTCTGATGGGTGCTTGTATATGAAAACAGGAAAATCCCAACATTTGAACGTTATCATGATCCAAACTCAAATTCAATAAAACTAGGGTAAAATATGAACAAAAGAAAGATTCACACGTAGACTCATGAAAAAGTATCAGGAGAAAAAGGCCTGGGGTTTCCGGAAGATCAAGCATCTTCACTTTCATCGACGACACCTGTCATTCCAAACAAGTACTAGTGAGAACAAGGTATACAACAGCGGAACCAACAGGCAAACTAACGAACATCAAATACGTCAAGCTTAATATCGTACAAACAAAAAAATATCTATGACGACCGTAAAACTTGCCCTTATATTCATCAACCTGCATCTCTTGAGACTGTGTTTCTGTCAGGGGATCGTTGCTATCCAGAAATGGAAAATTCACAATAGAGGAATTGAAATCATCAAGCTTGTCATACAGCTGTATATCTGTACAATGGACAGGTCTCCTGTCATTTAAAGACATCATTCATGTAACGTGAAGTAAAAATGAGAGACTTGACAAAGTCTTTGTTACTAGATTGGTACTCATGCTTAAAGGAAACAAAAACACATAATCTTAGAGAGAAATTACAGTTAGTTTCTATTGAAATACAGTTTGTCGAAATTTAACGAATACATTCTCAACAATTATTTGTAACACCACAATCATATGAGCACGAGCTTCCGGAGAACACCATTCAGAGCACCTATAACAGAGGTAATTGGTTTTCATCGTTCTGCAAAGGATTGGCATGTAAACTCTGACTCACTAAGACATCAGTCTACCGAATTAATTCAGCTACTTTCTGTCAGGGATGGATTTTCTCTATATATTACAGGTAATTTGAAGTCGACATGGCAAAAAATGTTACCCTATCAGCTTTCCCCAATGAGGTTTTGGTGGACGACAGATTCACTGTCCGTGTGACAGGACTGGGTTCGAATCAGAGGGCAACTATCCGTTCTGTGGTCAGGGAGGGCAGTATGGCTTTCAGTGCGTGCGGTTGTTATATGGCAGATAATGATGGCTGTATCGACGTGTGTGTCCAGCCGTCCGTATCAGGTACTTACACCGGTGAGTAGACTATATTGTACAATGAAGAATAATTTCCTTTAATCTTAAACAGTCATAAGAAATAGTCTGGTGTTTTGTGAGGTATCGTTGGTTTTGTACACTATTGACATTTTGATCAAGCTATGTACTCGATTGTAATGATTTTAGGCGTTGATCAGATGGGACTAGTGTGGAGTCTACAGCCGATACCTGGTCAGAGACCAGGGCTACGTCTCTTTAAGAAGGACGTTACCACCGCACAAACGATTAAGTTTGAAGTCTTCACAGAGCATCGCGCTTTTGATCATCTTCACGAAATTTCTATTCCACCGCTGTCCACGACTGAAGTGCTGCGGTGGTACAAAGGCAAGAACGTAAAGAGAGTTCCGGTGGAGGTAGGAAATATACGGGGCGTGCTGTTTATACCGCCAGGTAAGGGCAAGTTAGGCCGAAATAAAGTCTTCTACGAATCTTTCCTCTCCAGTTATTTCGCAATTTGTCCTCCTTACTAACGGTTTTTAATGGATGTATGTGGATACGTCTTCATAGAAGTTTTAACCTATCTGTGTCTAATATTGTGAGCTTAAACAGTTGAGCCCTTTCATCAGTTAAAAGCGGTTTGAATTTTTACGTAGGTAAAGGCCAATTTCCCGGAGTGATGGACCTGTTCGGCTCAGCGGGTGGGCTTATTGAATACCGTGCTTCCCTTTTGGCCTCTCGTGGGTTCGTCGTGTTATCACTGGCATACTTCGGATACAAAGACCTGCCCGAGTCGCTTTTTAGCATCTTGAGCATCGACTATTTTAAGGTAACTTGAGGTATATTTGCTCTCGAAATTTTGGACCAATTCAGAGCAAGTGATAAGAATGTAAGAAGAGTTTTTGATAGTGATCATACTAACAATTGAATTGAACATGTATTCAGTGTATCTAACATTAGTTCATCAACATCATTTGCCGATAGAAAACTGCGTGTGCTTATATGCACTGTTGAATATCACAAACATGTAAAAATGTCGGCGAAGTTGAATGTTCCTGTCGACAGTCGACATCTGATACAAGTCACGATAACTTCAGCAATATGGAATACCTGGAATATGAAATAAAGTAACTTTGAGCACATTGTTACCAATTAGTGTGTAAAGCATGTCATTTATAGTAATATCTTGGAAATATATTAAAAAGTAAAGGTTGTAGTCTGACCTATATCGAAACGAAACGCACATTCAAGTTTTATTTTTTGTTTTTTTGTTTTTTGTTTTTTGTTTTGTTAACAGCTTAAATATTACTTTATAGAAACAACAAGAAAATGCCAACATAATCCAAACTCAAATTTGATAAAATCATTCCAAATTATGAACATAAGAAAGATTTATATTTATATGTTGTGCCACAATTAGTCCTAATTATGAAGACATTTCTTCGTATTTATTTTGTTATTTCTCACAAGTCGACAATACAGCTCTGGTGTGGTCAGTCAGTGCCAAGTCGACGCAGCCTTAAAATGAAGGGGGCACAGGTAGATAATGTTAGGATTAGATAAAAAATTACATCACTGCTCGCTGAAGCTACTCCACTCGGTCTTCTTTCCACTGCATGCATTAAACATCCTTGACATGAATAACACTAAATAGTATTTGGAAGTTTGTAGTATCACATTAATACATGGGTTGATATGCATGGTACATAACATGATATTTTCTATATTTATTTAGGAAGGCGTCCATTATCTAAACAGTCACCCTAGTGTTCAGCCTGGTGGAGTAGGGATTCTTGGTGTATCTAAAGGGGCTGAAATAGCGCAGCTGGTAGCTCTACATTCTCCACTGGTAAGTCAACTGATCAAATCAATCAACTGATCGATCGATTAATATATTAATGTTTAATTACATTCTTGCAATTACAGTAGTTTGGAGGCAACAATAAAGATGCAAATCAGCAGAAACATTAAATGTATAACACATTTATATACAATATGGACATATTTTGATTGGATATAAGACCCATGATATGACGCATAATATTACGTAGTCACGTAAGATAATATAACAAAATATAGAAGCAAAGCATCTAAAAAAATTGCTAGTGAAGTACCCTTGATTATCACTCTGTAGGTAAGTATGATGAGCGGTCTATTGGTTTAACTTCGTGCCACATAGATTGTAATCGATCCTGTCTTTACATGGCCGCTTGTGCCTTACAGACTGACGCCATTAAATGTATTTCATGTAATGCACTGTATGTCCATTTGCGTTGTCATATTTACAGAGATGTTGTCGCTTTCGTCTCTTTCTGTTCTCAGTTTCCTGGCAGATTGTTGAAAATAATCATCACTGGTTTTGTGTTTTTCCTGTGTGATGGAGTACAGTTTTCCGATGAGTTGTATTGTGTTGCCAGCCTTTCGGTCTTTTATATTTTGTACAACTACAACTATTCTATACAACTATGTACTAGCAGTGTTATCAGTCTTTCAGCCTTTGTTGTTTTTAATGAAGTAAAATTATTTCTTAAACTGTAAGATACTGTCAGTCGCTGGGTCTCTGCTGTTGTGAACCTTTCAGTCTTTGCTGTTTGTTAAGGAGTACAATTAGCCAATGAACTATATGCAGTGTTATCAGCGTTTCGCTCTTCGTTCTTTGTAATTAAATAACTCCATAAAATACCAATATTTCAACGTAAACATAATTCTCAAATTCAATATAACTGTGGCAAAATAGGAACAAAAGAAAGATTTGCATAGAGAATCCTGAAAATTATAAGGAGATTAAAACTCGTCTTCATCGACAACACCGGCCATGTAAATTTTGACCAATCCAAGTAAGTAATGCCCATTCTCAAATGAGAACAAGGTAATCAACAGGCAAACCAAGGCACATCAAACACGCCCAGGTTCTCATCACACCAAGAAACAGAATAATGGCGTTATTATTTCGTAAACTGTTGTGGTACTATATAAACTTTCCGGTCCGGCTGGTTTTGATAGAGCGCAATTATTCCAATGAACTGTATGTATTATCCAAGTATATAAAAAGAATTTGATTTCCTTTTGGCTGCATATATCTATCACGCGGGTAAGTCGGAAGCTCTCTATCAGCTTAGAATTCAATGTTAAAGCTATTGATCTGTTTTGACGAAAGTCTGAAAATATCGCCAGTAGGTAGACTAAACTACCTTCTATGCATAACCCTTATTAATATGAGGTTAGTGGCAGTCTTAAAACCGTGTCGCACAGGTCACAACTCGCATCACTTTAACTTGAACACCGAACTGTTCTACAAAGGTCTAACAAGTACGACTCTAATTTCTAATTGTATATCAGGTGAAGGCAGTGGTCAGCATCAATGGTATCCCATACGTCACACTACGACCGTACAGTCATGGCGATGACGTCATTCCAGTCGTAAACAACTAAGTAAAATATGTTTTAGTTCAAATAGATTCCGTTATGAAACAAAGGAAAGTATTGGGCACAAATTACTGGAATATCAACATCCCTTATATTTAAATAATCATGTAAAATATACAAAATAACAATGCAATACTTTGCAATGCGTTAGTATAGATCACCCATCCTTGTAAACATTTGCCGTTTCTGATTCCACCAGACATATTCTCCCTCATTGACTGGCATTAGATAAAGAATCACATAACGTACAAATCATGATATCACTAAATGAGTGTATCACCTTTCTGTAAATACAAGTTCCAAATTCATGTCTGTTGAAAAACTAGCTTCTAACGTATTATCATGTACATTCATTGTTAATCGGCATAATTACTACATTTATGTTGAGTTACCTAAAACAGTGAAAACAGTGATCTTGCGAAAGTAGCGGTTACATGTACATGAATATTTTGTTAGCAAAACAAGAAGGAATCAATATCACAAGAAATGGAAAAACGTATACAATTCCACGAACATATAAATAGCAAATTCGTGTAAAATTGTGTATGCCATTTCATGTCCATTTCGTCATTCCATGCACTAAGGATTTGCATTAGAATATATATCTACAAAATATTTGTATTGTCATTGTGGCCTGTACATAGTGCCAAATACGATCTCCTTTACTATGATGACTGAAATCGTATTTGTACAAGCCACACCACTCCTTTAAATTCGAATCGAGACGATCGGTCCAGCGCTATTTGTTATCGGCGTTCTGTTACCATCGTCTAACATGTCGTTGCGTGATTACCGAGACACAATTGATACATTGTCTGACGTTTATGACAGGTTTGTGGAAGAGGGGATCGTCATCGTAATGGGTGACTTTAATGCCCATATCTCAAAGTTATATGGTGAAAAGAACCACGATATAGCCAACTATACCGGTAAGCTATTGGAGGAATTTATGTCAGATAGACAACTTATATCAGCTAACACACAATCGTGGTCAACAGGTTTGAGCTACACGTATGTCTCCGGTAATGGGTCAGTCACGAGTATGATTGATCATGTGTTACTTAACAGTTCAAAAGTCGACTTGGTTGATTTTTGCCGTAATGCTGATGACCATTTTCTCAATGTCTGATCATGTTCCCGTACAAATCGGTTTGCGTAACTTTTCCGAACTACATCGCCAACGCATCCCGTTGCGCGCCGTCAATTGGAAAGCAATAACAGGAACTCATATTCAACAATATCAGACTGTTGTTGAATCTTCTCTACGTACATACGACATCGGTGACAGTATAAGTGATGTTGATATCTGTATCGGGAACCTGGTGAAATCTGTGAAAAGTGCGGTTGATATAATATTTCCGCATAAATAATATAAACCTTATCTGAAACCGTACTGGAACCGTGGAAATGTGAAAGGTTTACACAAGAAAATGAGACATTTGAGGTCGATTTGGATACGAGAGGGTCGCCCTAGAGGGCAATTTTCTGATTCCTACACAAACTACAAACATGCCAAGAAGGTGTTCGCCAATGAACTACTTAGAGCAAGGTCTGAGTACGAGCAAGAACAATTCCGCAAACTTGGGCAGTACGCTGAACTAGACACGGGTACATTTTATAGGGCCATGAGAGCAAGGCGTGGGAATAAGGCGGATAATGGCTCATCAGAATTACGAGTTAATGACACTATATTACGCGACCCAGAGCTTGTACGAGACGCGTGGAGGAATCATTATAGTCTGTTGGCAAGCCCACTTGAAAAAGAACATTTTGATAATTCTCACAAACAATATATAAGCGATCGTGTGTGTGAATTTGAAGCCCAAAGTTTTAACAATTGTGACTTAATATGTGACGAACCTATAACGTTAAATGAGCTTAAACTGGCAATGCGTGATATGAAGTCTGGAAAAGCCGGTGGGCATGATGGTATCGTGGCAGAGCACCTAAAACTTTTGAATGATTGGTGTCTTGAATTATTGGTAAGAATTTATAATCCTATAATGGCTGGCGAACAATATCCGAATCATTTTAAATTTGGTGTGGTTATCAGTCTTTTTAAAGGTGGTAAGAAAGATAAGTTGGATCCGAATAGTTATAGGGACATAACTCTTACTCCCGCTATACAAAAATTGTTTGAAAAAATTATATACTTCAGGCTACAAGAGAGATGTTCCGAATTGGGATTTCCTCATCCGCTACAACAAGGCCGTAGTCGGTGCGGTCGTATAACCGCAGCATTTGTCGCTAAGGAATCCATAGAACACTATCTAGAAAGGGATTCGAGATTGTTTGCTGCTTTTTAGACAATCATAAAGCCTTTAATAGTGTGTGGATCTCTGGTATGATGTACAAGCTGTATAACCTTGGATTTAATGGAAAATTTTGGCGTCTTCTGTTTGACTCCTTTCGAAATGTTGAAGCATCGGTGCTTTACAATCAAATATTGAGCGACAGGTACCCGGTGATGCAAGGAGTCGACCAGGGGAGAACTTTGTCTGCTTGGTGTTTTTTAGTTGTAATTAATGACCTAATATTTGAGCTTGATCATTATAATCACGGGCTAAAAGTAGGAAATGTGCACATTCCAGGCGTTCTTCTAGCGGACGATACTATGGTTTTGGCCGCTTCTATGGTCCACCTTCAGAGGGAATTAGACATTGTACACCGTTATTCCTGCAAATGGCGACTGAATTATAATCCGAAACAGTCCGACGTTCAATCACGCGGCCAATTTCGGTAAAAACGCACTGCCATGGGTAAACAGCACTATCTACGCGGGTGTCAATTTTATTTATAATACAAAAGACAATGAGGAAATATTGGACTCGTGTAAAAAGGGTAAACGGGCGCTTAACTCTTTAGTAGGTGTTGGTATGCTAGTAAGACTATTCTAACGTCTGTGATTACGCCCGGAATCTTAAAACGGATGTGAATTATGGAATCAGTATACAGATAGGGCACAGGAGCAAGTAAATGTTACTTTGAAACACGCCTGTAGAAGGTGCCTTGGTCTCTCTCAAAGATCTCCGACTGTCGTTACTACGCAGTGTATGGGTTTGATGGAACTGTGGAGTGAAGTAGAAAATCGGAAACTAAATTTCTGGAACAAACTGACAAATGGCGATACTTCATTAGACTGTGTAGCTTTATATATGGTAAAATGCTAAGAAAGAAAATTGGCTTTATTCCGGATATTTACCAGATAATGGTAAAGTTTCAAATTGGTGTTTTTTTCAAAGAGGAAATTACAGACTGTGTTTATTACCGAAAGAACTCATTGAAAATTTCATCAAAACGGTACTGTCGAATTGGTGGTGCTTTCGATGACCAGTGAATCTGATGAAGTTTTGTGTAGACTATGTTCAAAGTTGAGCAATGATATAGTGTCTCACTTACTGGTCGAGTGCCCGGTGCTTTACATTACGCGTGATGCATTTTTTGATAAGATTGTTAATGTTGTAAATGTAACAGACTATGTAAAGTTTTTGTTTCTTGAAGACAGTTACCAATCAGACTTTCTATTGGGAAGTCGTACTCGCGTTTGTCTACCTGACGAGGAGTGGGAGAATTTGATGGTGGTTGTTGCCGATGTAGTTGAGATGCTGCTCTCCGATATGAACTCTCGTTTAAACTAGAACTGATAACAGAATGACCTGTGTATAGTTAAATACCAAGATTGTGTTTTGTACCAGCAACTGTAATTAATTTGGTAAATATTTGATGTCATTCTAATCTCTTAACAGAGGAAATAAAGAATGTCTGTCTGTCTGTCTGTATGTCTGTCTGTCTGTCTGTCAAGCCACACCACTCCTTTAGACATCAACCATGCCCCGGATATAATTGCTGATGAAATGTCGCATTTGTTATATACATGCAGTCAGGCATGTGATATTTCAACGAAGAACTTAGGAAAACTATCGATTTATCATATATGTTTCATTCATTGCTCTACGTTAAATGTGCTGTCATGACTTCATTTGCATACACATATGCATTATATCCTGTGTAACAGTGTAATAGAGAATGGATACATGGGATTGTTCCTATTCATATGTAGATATTATTATCGGAAAGTGACTGTAGCTGTCATCTTCACCAAATTATATCAAATGTTACTGGACAATAACTTATATTATATACAAGTATCAGGCATGTAATATTTTAACTTGAACAATTTAGGAAACTATCACTTTGTCATATATATTTGATGTTTAACGTTAGTATGAGTATGATATAATTTGTGATAGAAAATGAGTTTTCTTGAAATGCTTCTGTATTATAATTATCGAAATTTAAATGTAGCGGTCATCTGCACCACACTGTGTCGATTGATACTCTACTCTCCCATTTAGTATGTACGAGTAAGCTGTGATAACCTTTTATATGAACAAATTAGGAAAATTATGAGAATTAAAACTAATGACATTCCTATTACAAGGTATGATCTTAGTATTTTATACTTCTCACATCACTTTTTGGCTGTAATTACTGTAGTTATAAATCGGATGTTGATCGGTGCCTATACATCTCTTGGTAAGTACATGTACGTTTTTTATGAAATGATTTGTATTCATTCAGATATTAAATAATGTAACTGTAGCTACAGCGCCTGGTAAGTCTTTCTTAGCTAGACATTTTGATGTATTATATATACTAGGTCTTTCGAGTTATACGAGGTTTGACTGTAGTATGATAGTGGGTTACAATATACAATGAATATTGTGTTATGCAATTCACAGAAATATATGTGTTTGCAGATTTGATTCTTCTGGCTCAAAAGTAACTGAAGAAGGACTGATATTGAAGTCTTGCTACGGTTTGGATTCTGCTGGGATCTTTGAGGTAATCATGACATCATTGATACATCTGAAATACATCTGTTGAGTACAGTATTTTGGTATACAGTGAAACCTCACCTAACGACCACCTCAAAATTACGACCACCCAGCTATTATAGGCACTTTTTTCAGTCCCGTTTTTTTCCTCTATATATCTTTGTAATG